TGACGATTTATCAGGTGTGTTATAAGGTTTGTTGTGTTGGACCCCGAGGGTCTTCTTTCCTCCTCTCGAAATCCTTGTAGAGCAGGTGTTACAAAGTGGTGAAGACATGATTGATAATTTACTGTCAGGCAGTAACGGAGCCAAGCCTGGGTCCTGATAGTAAGGAGCGCAAAATCCACAGGTCTTGTCCCGCTTTCGTAACCTGACTCCGCTAGATGGATTTGCTCCGCATATCCATCTGGAAACCTTCCGTAGAAGTAATTTTGGGAAGGGGCGAAAATACTGGTTAGCTGATTGGCCTATGTTGGTGATAGACGGGCCAAATAAACCAATCAGATCAACGAAGCATATGATGTACTAACAGAGCGACGACGAAGAGGAACCAATTGATAGATCAAACTCTTGCCGAAACCAGTCGGGAGAAGAGCAAAAACATCTTTTCCTCTGAGAAAAGCCTCCAGAGCAGTGTTTTGCTCTTCTTTCAGTGAAGAAATACTCTGTAATTCCGATAAAACTTGCTCGATAGCCACGCTAACGCTAGTTTCATCGGCTGAAGCCGCCATGTTCTTTAGACTGAACTGTCGCGCTTCTCGTTGCGTCACACCTCAACCCGCCTCAAAGCCAACGCTGATTGGACGTTCGTTTGGTGAACGCCTCCAAATTTTCTTTAACGGAGAGTCTCCAGACTGATCTGCGAGTGAAACCTTGAAAGCTCGCGAGATCTGGATGGTCTCACGAGGCTACCGCTTTGGGGCTACTCTGCCTGAATAAAATACCACCAAATTTAATTAATTTATCTGCTATTTTTATCGGAAAATTTGGTGGTATTGATGGTTCACAGTTAGAAACAGGCAAATATGTCGTATAATATATATGCCGTTGAATATTTGCCCTTTGGTGTAATCAACGCTGTTCCCTTTGAAGATAAGGAAGCCCAAATCAGCCATTTTCTCTGAGCTTGTGACTTTTAATTGGCTTCTGACTTTTTCCAACATCCTGTGGTTTAAATAACGAGGAGATTTATGTCCATTCATTCACTATAAACACTTTGACATTATGCATGGAGGCCTTTCAGTTACTATCAGTGGGGCTAAACGGGTCCTGACTCCTTTTCTCAGTCGCTCTGTGCTGATCTCAGATCAGCATGGAGAGTCTGAGTTTTAATGAGTGGAAAATAAACTCCCTCTGTCCATTTATCAGAGAAATTGTCAGTTTGTCTGTCAATGGATGTCCTGTTTATCATCAACAGGCTTGTACTCAGATTGACACTGCAGCACATCGTTAACCTCTGCCCCCCCTTTAAATGTTTTTTATAAGTGGTTTTCCCACATTTAACTTTAGAAAAAATAGCAGAATTGTCATTGGAAAATGCTTTAAAAGCTCAGATACATTTAATAAATAGGGTTCAATATAAAAACAACTAATTCTAGCTCTACAAAGAATGTTATTCATATTCAGTTTTATAAAACTATTGATTGACGTCTGTTTAACCAGGCTTTCTGTAAGTTATTCCACCCATCTCGTTGTTATTTATAATTTTTATTTATAACTAAAGTGAGATAAGCAGCTAAAGGCCTTGGGCTTTATTTACTTAATGTGTCACTGTGATAAGCCTGGACTGTGCATGTCCCGTTCTCCCTCTGCTCCTCTCTTTCAGCGTGGTTTGTCTCCTCCACACTGATGGTTAGTTTCCATGCAGTCACATGCCATTTTGAATGCTGCTGTGTTGAGTTTCACAGACCAGCATGCACTCTAGCCTGGATCTGTCAGGGAGCCTTTTATGCTCCCTCAGTGCAAATCGCCCTGACACTGAACCCGATGAGGAAGTTGGGCTTTTTAAAGTCGTGTTGTCACCATGAAAGTTTAATTTGTTTGGATGTGGTTCTTGTTTTAATATCTCCCCCTAAGACATTTCTAATGCTTATTAGACAGAGGTAATAATGATTTCAACTTTATCTATTGAATCTACTGACAACAACTACTTACTAGAGTAGTAGTATTTTGAAATGTTTGGAAATACGTCATTTTGCTTCTCTTGTTTTTACTCATTTTATTACGTCACTGTAGACATTGAAGATACAATCATTCCCTCAGTACTACTTTAACCTGACTCCGCCAGATGGATTTGCTCCGCATATCCATCTGGAAACCTTCAGTTGAAGTAATTTTGGGAAGGGGCGAAAATACTGGTTAGCTGATTGGCCTATGTTGGTGATAGATGGGCCAAATAAACCAATCAGATCAATGAAGCATATGACGTACTAACAGAGTGACGACAAAAAACACAACCACAAGCCAGGCTACTCTTGCCGAAACCAGTCGGGAGAAGAGCAAAAACACCCTTTCCTCTGAGAAAAGCCTCCAGAGCAGTGTTTTGCTCTTCTTTCAGTGAAGAAATACTCTGTAATTCCGATAAAACTTGCTTGATAGCCACGCTAACGCTAGTTTCATCGGCTGAAGCCGCCATGTTCTTTAGACTGAACTGTTGCGCTTCTCATTGCGTCACACCTCAACCCGCCTCAAAGCCACGTTTGGTGAACGGCTCCAAATTTTCTTTAAGGGAGAGTCTCCAGACTGATCTGCGAGTGAAACCTTGAAAGCTCGCGAGTTTAGGATGGTCTCACGAGGCTAGTACTACTTTACCATAGTTCTCATCTAATGTATTTTTTCTTATTGAGTTTTCTTTTAATTTACTTCAATTTCAAATAATTTTAAGTTACTCAACTTTTTTTGTAAGTATGATATTTGACTACCTGATCCTCCCCTGTTGCAAGCAGGATACTAAAATATTGCAATATTATTTAGATATTGCGATATGTTACCCAGCGATCAAAATGAAATGTATAGATAAAAAAAGCTAGTCCTGAATTTGTTCATCAGAAGAAATTGATCATTCAGCTATTTTGGGATCCATGTTGTTTGGGGTTTGAATCAGTCCACCTCTTCAGGGAAGATTAGACTTCTGCAACCGCACACATCAAATGTCGCTTGGCTCTGGTCGCGAACCAGTTTTGCTGGTATGCTTCTACACCGTCGGTCTGGAATCGCTAGGGACACACAGCAGTTTCCCACCAAAATGCAAAGGGAAGCCTATTCGAGAACTAGCGGGAACTTCGGTAGATGGTCATGAGAACTTCGTTTTGGCATCTTTACATAATTTGTATGTATTTGAAGCACCGCACAAGTGGTTGTACTTCCGAACCTCCTTGATTAACCTTTCGTTGTAGTTGTCCATTGTAGTTGTACCTCGGTTTTAAAAAAATGGCGCACCCCGGCAACGAATCGAGAGGGACGACCACAAAGACACCCAGAAAGGCGTACCAAGGACCAATCGCAGCTGCTTTTTGTCAACGCACTTCCGAGTGAGGTGTGTACGAGTTTGCGAACGTCCGACGCGTAGACCGGAATTTTTTTAGGTGCGCGACGACGGTTGCAGAACCTCTGCGCGGGGGGCGTGGTCTCGTACAGAGACAGATTTGACGGTTGCAGAGGCTATGCGTCAGGAAAAAAAGAAAAAAAATTTGAACTGTAAACTATAGTGAGCTGTTTCCAAACAAAATTTCTTTTTGTTTTACACTTGACTAATCAAATCAGTCTAAAGTCTAAAGAAGCATAAATTGGCCTTTCAGCTGTAGCTACTCAGCTACAGATATGGTGCTGAGGTTCACAGCAATAGGGCTCCACAGATCTATCTGCCAGGGTGGCGGTGCAGAGGTAGCCCATACGCCCCTCTATTTTAGGTGAAAACTTTTTATTTAAAAAGAAATCGATACTAGGAACTGAAAGATAGGTAATATATCGTGGGGGTGGAACGGTTCACAAAATCCACGGTTCGGTTCACGGTTTCGTGGTCACGGTTTTCGGTTCGGTATATGTTGATTGTTAGCCTGACATGTTGGTCGTGTTGCTGTTAGCATAAACAAAACGTGTTGCACAATGCTTGCACACTGTTGCACTTTAATCCACAACTTTCTTTCCGCCGTCATCGTAGGTCACTCTAAATGCAAAGTGGTCCCATACAGCAGACCTATAAAGTGCTGCTGGCGCGTCTTCCAACTCCTGTTCTTTCCCACTCGCCATACCCACACAATTCTCCACAACAACTGATTTTTTTCTGCTACACCCGGCTACGCTGCTTCGCTTCTTCTTCTGCTTGTTTACTACTGGTGGTTGGCTTTGGTCGCAGTACCGCCACCTTCTGCTCTGGAGTGTAAACGCTTCGCCTATGAGAAAAAGGAGCAGCGCATGAACCGAACGCAACACACATGAACCGAACTGAGACAGTCCTAAACCGTTCCATCCCTAATATATCAGGCAGCCGAAAATCACGATATATATCGCCATATCGATTTTTTCCCCACACCTCTATTTGCAAGTTACAGGTTTATATTGTTGTACAACACACAGTAGCGCCTAACTGAGGAGTGGAAGGATTACATTTCTACCAATGATTTACAAATGGCACCAATTACAAACATCACTTCAGTTTGTAGATTTTCTAAAGAAGCTGTGTTTAATTTTTTTACTTAAGCCAAGTCTTAAAATATACCTACATGTCTTAAAACTATATAATGTATGTATTGTTAAAATTTGTATTTTTTATTATGTAGGAAAAACATTCACAGATGGGTGAACTGTGTTTATTCAATAGATATGTATCAAAGGCATCCAATTGCACTAAATGTTTTTTTTTTCATAGGTATCATGATAAAAGGGGCTGTGCATAAATACATGCCAGGTTTTAATTATCATCCATATTTTTTCTTTCATGTGGCAATCGGAGTACATTTGCTAAGAAGATTAAGCAAATTGTTAAAGCTGCATTATCTAAAGCCAGTTCCACTGCTTTTTAATTTGCATTTATTCAAAAGAAGAAGCTATTTTAAACTATTTACTTAGATCTGAATTAGATGCATAAAACTGGTTGAATTAAATGATCAGATCTTGTCTTTGTGTCTGTCTTTTGACTAATAGATTCACTGTTTGTCTGCTCTCCCTAGCATCACCTCATACCAGACTCTGCCTAGAAATATGCCAAGCCATCGAGTCCCCTACATGCCTCATTATGGAGAAAACTATCGCAGTATGCCCAGGAATAGCATGGCCCAGCGGGACAGCATCTGCAGCATGTCGCCGTCGCTTTACGACCAAGCCCTCGGCCCAGCAGGGGCCGAGAAGCGACGCTCCATGCGAGACGACACCATGTGGCAGCTGTACGAGTGGCAGCAGAGACAGGCCTACACCAGGCAGTCGGGGATCTACAGCAACATGGCGAGCCCCAAAACCATGATAAACCTTTCAGAGCATACAGGCCTGAGCCCCTCCATCCCTCCTTCGCCTTCTCACGGCTCCCTGTCCATGTACGGCGCCTACTCTCCAATGAGATCTTACAACATGGCCAATGCTCGTCCCGAGGTCGCTTCGCCGATCTACAGAAGAGACTTGAGCATCGACAGACGGCAGAGACCACAAATCAACAAGGTATCTGACAGCGTTTGTCCGACATTTGTCAACATTACTTCTAGCTTTTCTGTTTAGATTATTGAGGGTCAATGAAACAGAGGTATGTACTTTAAAAAAGCAGCACTAGGTTATCTTACATTTAACCTAATCATAGGAAAAACATTTAAACAATTTTTATATGATCTCCTCGTTTAAGCCGACAGAGGTAACAGCTAAATGCCCTAGGAACTCATACTCCCTATTTAACTCATCCTTAAGGAAGCAAAGGGCTGCCTCTCTGCAGCATCCAGGGCCCTACTCTGGGGCCAAAGGTCTTCCTCTGAGACCCTTAGTGGAAATCTGTGGGATTTGATCCAGAAAACCAGCCCAGGTTATAAGCGACTTGCTCTCACCAATCCCCCCATTTCTTCAGGATTCCCGCAGGTCCTTAAAAAGTCTTAAAAGGCATTGAATTCTTCAAAATAAAACTAAGGCCTTAATTGGTATTAAAATGTGTTAAATCAGTCTTTCTTAGGTCTTAATTTTTAAAGCATTATAAATAGGATTATTTTTATTATAATTTATTTTTGTAATCTAAATAAAACATAAAAAATTACCTTTTTTTTTTAATTTAAAAATATATAACGGCTTTCCATTATTGGTTCCGTCCCGATAGCGGAACCAATGAAAGCGTTGTTGCGGCCGGGGCATTTGGGAGATGCGCCATTAATTTTTTGTCTAGAAAATATGAGCAAGTGTAAATGTAACCAAAATTGTCTCCAGCCAAGAGTTTTCTCCATGGCTAAAACCAGGGAACATACATGAGGCTCAGTGGATTTATGCAAGAATTCATTCAAGCTCAGAACGATGGATATTAAGGCAGTGGAGTCACGCATGCGAAGCACGAAACACAAAGCGTCAAAATGGAGTTACAGAGAAACAGACGGTATTTCTCAGTTTAGTTCCACCCTTGTCTCTGCAACGCCTCCACTTATCACCAAATCAAACATACTAAGAAAACGATACAAAGAAAAATAGCTGCAAAAAAGACTTAGCACTGGTTATGTTGTGGCTTTAAAATTGATTTGTTTTGTTCCCTGCTAAAACAAAGTTTGTGAATTCAGTTAAATAATTGTTAAAATATTTCTGTCATTTGTGTGTTTTTAGCTTTCTTCCTGTATGGGTAGCTTTTCAAAATTTTAAACATTAGTGCAGTGGTTTATGTTAAAATAAACCTTTGGGTTAAGTTGTCGCAAGCAGGTTTTTCTTGTGTTTCTTGTAAATTTGGTCTTAAAAAGTCTTGAATTTAACTTGCCTTATGCTGTAGGAACCCTGCTTTATAAGAGATTAAAACTGAGTTTTCAACATGTTTCTGCCTTAAACATTAATTGTTATTGTTAGTAGCAAAGGCCACTTCACAGTTTTTTCCATTTTATTTGAGTAATTAGCTTAGTCTGTTACCATTACTAACTAAACAGGAGTCACTGAATCTATTTCCCATAAAATATGAACAAAACAACTTTGCTAAAGTCGATTCAGCATCACTTCAATCTTTTCCCAGTTCTAAATAAATGACCCAAAGGCAGATAAACATCAGAAAACTCCTTTATTCCACAATAGGTAGCAAACAGTTCTAACTACAGCAGTGCAAAATGGCAAAGGGACATAATGATCAGCATCTACTGCACAGAAGGTTTGTATTAACAGCTAACCTGTCTTTATGGAAAATATTATTTTCTTTTGAAATAGCTTCTTGTCACATTCCTGCTTCCTCTGACTTTTCCCATCCGGCCACTAAACGGCGAGGGTTGATTTCTCAGTGCATCTGTAGTAATTATCCCGCTTTTGACAGATAGACACTAATATATGATTCTTCCCCCGCCGTCTCCTGCAGTACGCCTACCCACCTGATCGGAGATCCTTGCCTGCAGGGATCCCAGTCCAGACTATCTCTACCCAGTCTCTTCAAAGCAAAACTGTAAGTCTGCATCTGTGTTTTCTCTTTCTTGTGTCAATCTATAAATATTTATACGTCTGTGCGGCTTTGTTGAAGTTCCATAAACTAAGGTTTCATGGTTTAGGTTTAACCTGAATTTGTTAAAAAGAATAACGCTGCTATTTCGGTCTTAAACTCTTCCCGTCACTTTCCTTGTTTAACTTTTAGAGACAGCTTTAGGAGACACTGTGCTCCAAATTGAAGGATTTCAAATCCGTCCTCTTCAAGAGCTTCTAAGGCTCCCCTCAAATCAGAGAAGCCTTAAAAGAAATCCTGGCACTCACAGGTCTCTAAGCCAGCTCAGTAGTTCATGTCAAAGCAGCACACGCTGCTGTGTTTTGATAGAGCTGCTAAAGTGTGAATTGAACTCTGTAGCACATTGCTAACTCTTCTGTTTTTACAGCAGATGCAAACAGCTCGCACTCTTCCGGTTGTACTAACATGTGAGATAATATCCTGCTCCTCAGGTGCACGGAAACACGACAGCAGGACGTGCACACCTCTATGGATCCAAATTCCTCTAAATCTCCTTTCCTTAGCTTTCCTCTGCTTCTTCCTTACGGTTTGCTCCTGTTTCACTGTGGCTGTGTGTCCCCCCCTCCCTCCCTCCGTCCATCCTTGCAGCCTGAGGAACTGACTTTGCTGCTGATAAAGCTGCGGCGGCAGCAAGCAGAGCTAAACAGTATCCGGGACCACACTGTAGCACAGCTTATGCAACTAAACATGGATCACAACCACCCAAAGGTCAGGCCCCAGGGACATCTCTGCTGGCGTCTGTGTTAGTTTACTTGGTGTGTGTGCCATCTCCACCCACTTCCATAATCCATCTCAGTCCAGAAGATTTGGTTGCTCTTCATGCATGGCTGAACTGGGACCAACACGCTGAAGGCTAATGAAGGCTAAGGAACATGTCTGTAGTCGGTCATCATCTTTAAATAATAAGATGCCATCAGCTACATGTTGAATAATTTCACATCTGGGTTAATATCATTTTTCTGGTCATTACATTGGAAACATTTTAGCAGAGTAGGCAGTTGATGTGATTATGTCATTATCCTCCTTCTAAAGAGTGCAGATAGATTTAAGATGAAGATGAAAGTTAAAGCTGTTGGCAACCTCCTGCATCAACTAAATGAGGCGGTTATGGCCTGTGACATAACGGGAAATTCAGGATCTTTGTGCTTTAAGATTTGATCTTTTTTTAATTTTTTAATTAATGAACTTGTCCCAAGAGGAAGAATCAATCAACGGCTAATTTAATTTGCTTTTTACTGGAGATGCACCAATCAGAGTTTAGGTCAATATCTGATAAACAATTTTAAGATAAGCTGACTGATCAATTTTAATTTATTTTTTAAGAACCATAAAAAAGTAGTTGTTTTCTTATTCTGGCTAAGTTAAAAAGTTGATCTGTACAGCATAAGGGATTATTCTTTATTGCCAGTAGTAACAGTACAAACAATGAACACTGCAAAAACGTTCTAGAAATAAGTAAAATTCTCTCAAATTAAGTGTATTTACGCTTGATTTGAGTATGTAAATGAGATAATTTGCCAATGGGATGAGTATTTTTACCCTTAAAATAAGATAATTAGATAATATGCACTTGAAATAAGACAATGCAGTTGTGTTTTCTTATTTTGAACCTAAATTGTCTTGTTCCATTGGCAATATGTCTCTTTTATTTCCTCAATTAAAGAACAAATGCACTTATTTTAAGAAAAAATGACTTATCTAGATTTGGATGTTTTCCAATGAAGATATTCATAGACAAAAAAAAAAATGAGATTGAGAAAATGTTTTTTTCTGTCAATACGCTCTGTCCAGAACTCCTCATGTCGAAACGTTTTAGTTTCACCTAGTTTAATTTCATAAAAACTATTTTTTAAGGAACCTTAGGTTATCTGATTATTATTGGATAATCGAAAATATAATAGACAGATTAATTGATTTGCAAAATAAATGGTTAGTTTAGGCCTAGTTCAGGCAACGTAAATGCTGCCCTGTGGTAATCCACTCAGGATGGATGCAGGATCCCTTATTTTTAAATTTGTAATACTAGTACCAAACATAGCTGAACTGTCCTTCATTCAGTAACCACTTCCACTCCGAAGAGGTTTTTTTGGGGGTTTTTTTATTGAGCTACATAGAAAAAGTGTCCTTTTGGTTTAGTTATTTTGAAATGAAGGCTTCTTGATTGACCGTCAATCAACACCAATTGGCTGATATCTGGGTTCATGTTTACTTTTTACACCGCAGTGTGTTGTCATAAAGTTTATTCACATTGCTTTTTTTTTTATTAAAATAAAGTTGCATCAAAGTAATGCATAACAAAAAGGTTACAGACCACCTAGGAATCAAACACTTTGTATTTTAACGTGAAATGAGACCCAACAGCTTGTCTTTGTCTTGTATTTATCCCCATTCTTCATTATGTGGTTCTTTGACAGTTGCATGAGGCCATTCTGTCACGACGCACACGGTCACATCCAGTAGTAGCCTCATGTCGTCACGTTCTAAAGTATTGTACATCTGGTGGCTGACCTGCTTTCTCCACATCAGCTTGTCCTGCTTCCTTTTCTGTGTGGCTATATTTGGATACGTGACATGGTTATGTGATTCCTTAGAAAAAGAAAGACACACAGGAGAAACATCCTGGCGAATAAAGAACTTCTTTTTTTTCTCACTCTTTTCCCCTCTCTCCTCACTCCTTTGCTGCCGCCTCTAGAACGACATTCTCTCCCATCACCTCCAAAGGAACCTCATGTATTTGGACAATCAGGTGGGGTAGTGCATGAATGCATGGCCTCTTTCCTGTGGTGGTCCTCTAAACTAACTGAATGCTTTCTTGTTGTTGTGTTCATCAGTGCCGTCTCTTCTTTAGATTTTAGTTATTTTAGCCTAATAGACTTTTGTTTCCCAAATGTCTAGCTTTAAATCCAGTTTTATAACTAAATCCTTAGTTTTAAGTTACACCATTCCTGCCTTCCTTCATTTCATATTTTTACTGAAAACCATAATTTTTAGACCCAAATATAATTTATGTTAAAATCATATGAGCTGCATACTATACCCATTGTTACATATTCCAGGATTTTTGGAAAGGTAGCATTTAAAAACTCCATAACCCCCCAGTAAAAGATCTGGAAGATCAGCAGAAACAAGCTCACAACTTTGGTGGATTATATTGCTTTCCTTTCCCTCGGCACTATAGGGCTTGGGATCCGCGTTGCATTGTGGGACGTGGCGGCCATCTTGAGGGCTACGTGAACGTAAACATAGCTATGATACAACGTTGTTGTTGAACGCAGAAGAAGTAGAAGTAGAGAGAAAAAAGATGTTAAAATCCCCAAAAGGATCTGGAATTTACCGGGACACGTTAAATAGAGAAGCCAGGGACCGGTATGTTGACAGCATTATTGAAAATTTGGATCCATATGAAGTACCTAACAATGAGTGGAGCACCGATGAGTGAGCGCCTATACTTCAAAACAGTTCCGAAGCTACAAGTCCTTGGAGTCTCATGTGCAGTTCATGAATGGATGGGTTCAGGAGCTGCAGATCATAAAGCCAGCAAACAATGCGAACACAGTGATCCGTACAAAGGTAAGCTGTGCTTAGACAGGCTCTGGAACCTGCTAGTTTAGTAACTGCTAACCGCTAATGCTAACAACCACTCACACATGTAATGAACTTTTAACTAGCTGCTATGTATTTCAAAGGTGTAAGTAGTAACGTTAACTGCCAACCCTCCCTAAACTTTCCGGGTTTCTCACGTATTTGAGCCTTTTCCCGCTGCCGTTTTTATAATTTTCCCGTAAAAGATCCCAACTTTGAAGGAAAGAAACAATGTAGGCTATAAAATAAAACCGTGCATCTTTAACTTCCCAGAATGAAAATGCAGGGAACACACTCTCATTGACATTGGGATACTGTGGAAAGTTATCTTCGGTCGTCTTACAGCCGCGATCCAAGCTAGCCGACGACTCTTTATCTCTGACACTTGGTCTTCGTGGTTGCGCCTCCAGGCAGGAAAGCGGTGGAAAGTGAACCCATTTTCTATGTTGTTCCCATGGCGATCATGTGTTGCACTGTTACAGCCCACAATACAGCAACGGTTTACTAACCTGACTCCGCCAGATGGATTTGCTTCGCATATCCATCTGGAAACCTTCCGTTGAAGTAATTTTGGGAAGGGGCGAAAATACTGGTTAGCTGATTGGCCTATGTTGGTGATAGACGGGCCAAATAAACCAATCACATCATGAAGCATATGATGTAACAGAGCGACAACGAAAAGGAGCCAATTGATAGATCAAACTCTTGCTGAAACCAAGAGCAAAAACATCTTTTCCTCTGAGAAAAGCCTCCAGAGCAGTGTTTTGCTCTTCTTTCAGTGAAGAAATACTCTGTAATTCCGATAAAACTTGCTTGATAGCCACGCTAACGCTAGTTTCATCGGCTGAAGCCGCCATGTTCTTTAGACTGAACTGTCGCGCTTCTCGTTGCGTCACACCTCAACCCGCCTCAAAGCCAACGCTGATTGGACGTTCGTTTGGTGAACGGCTCCAAATTTTCTTTAAGGGAGAGTCTCCAGACTGATTAGCGAGTGAAAACTGGAAAGCTCGCGATATCAGGATGGTCTCAAGAGGCTAACGGTTTACCATGGTTGAAACCAAGTTAAGGTGAAATTAATCAAATTAAAACACGGCTGAGAGGGAGTACAGTACGCGGTAGTCGTAGGCAGTAGTCTGAGCAGCGGTAAAGGAGGCCATCAACATGGCGGCCACGCAAAGTCATTATGTCATGACGCCCAAGCCCTATGGTGGAACTATGTGCATCAAGGAAGTAATATCAGAGCAGCGGCAAATCTCACCCATTTTTATATCTATTTTGCCAAAGAAAATGGCTGTTTTGCAGGTTACTCTGCAACATGGTTGTGCTGCTGGTTATTTGCAACTTTCAATTCAGATATTACTCTTCTGATTACCTGTTATTTTTTGTTCTTGTTTTTTGTAAAATTCAGTAATACAAATTTCTACTCAAATTAAATCCTCACCCAAATCTGATTAAGGTTTTATTATGTCATTTCATTAGCAGAACCATTGTTTGTGTTCCTTTACAAGTATTTTTTTCCTCCATCTAAAATCACACCTATTAGGGGTGTAACTATGTGCAAGATCTTTCATTATTATTATTATAGAGTGATGATTATTGTCAAAATAGAGGCCGCATGGAGAAAACCCTGGACAGCACGATATTTGAAAATGCCCTAATGGTGATATTGCTAAATATTGTAAAGATCATATCAGCTATGGTGAATCCAGGCCTTATTCTGACATGTGCTTCCAGCACTCTGTAATATTTAGCATCTAGGACACTGTAATCTGTGTCAGATATGAACACCTTTTGCAATCAAACTGCATCCACTGTGTGGAATAGCTTGGCATGCAAATTGTGTATTCTTTTAAATATTGCAGTTAGAAAGGAAGTGCTTTAATAAACTCCACAGTAACTGTCAGTGCTTTGTTTGGGCAATGTTTTGCACTTTCCTCCCATTAGGCACTCGAGTGCAACAAACAGCAGAGACAGCGGGTTTGTGGTTAAAACAAATCTGGAGATGTCGTCCTGCACCAGTCTTTTGCAGAGGATGATTCTTATTTTGGGATATCCATGTACGGCTTAAACTTAAACAAAAAAAAAAAGATCTGCATTTAGATGATGTGTTTAAATCGAGATTTTCCCCTAAATCTGCTTCGGCCTAGAGCATGTGAACAGAGCGGAGCACAATTCCCGCTCCCTGCTCAGGAGGATGTTCGCTCATTCGCACCACCGCTCAAAGTTATGACAGGAAGCGTCGCTCAAAATCTGCTCCGCACTCACGCACTAATTTCCTGCTGCTCATGCGAAATCGCTTCACACTCACTCAAATGTTCAGGAGAAGGTATTTTCTGACATTTTTCTTCATATAATGATGCCAGAGCCCTGGGACTCACGGCGTTTGATTTAATGACGTGAGCGATACATGTGTATTGTCATGTTTAACTGGCTGTTAAATTATCGCACCCATTTGTGAAGGTATCACCTCGCTCCATTCATGTTGCCCCAACTTTCCTATTTAATTATTAATTGTCGAAGAAAATCACACTTAAATCAAATAAATGATATAATACATATTTTATAATTAAATATTTTTAATTGACGCTGTGAGCGCATTGGAGCAAAATCCTTGCTCCGGCCTTTAAATTGAAAATCACTCTGCGCTTCTTCATATTTCTTCCGCTCACATGCTCTGCTTCGGCCCTAGACTAAAGGTCCATTTCACATATTTTAACGATTCTTGATCACATGAGAAATATGATTAGTTATTAGGCTTTAACTGAGTAATTATTAGGAGTGTAAATCACATCCATCATGGATGATTCAGTATCGATTTCCTGACCCAACGATTCAATACTCAATAATACACCACGACTCGATTGGATTAATCGTTCTTTTTTTTTTTTACACCTTACAGGCTAAACAAAGTTTCAAGTTTGAAATAAATCAATGAAAGCTGTAATATCATAATGCATTTTCTTTAGAAACAACAGCAAATAACAGAAGTAGAAAAGTTGCATCAAAAAATTACAGCAAAAATACTGCAGAAAATCAGTGCAATGGGTGCAATGCAATACCTCGGCTCCAGACGTCCCGCCCCCTCCACAGACGCTCCGCTGCTCCTCTCCCAAATTGTAGCTGACCGCAAGCAGTGCAGCAGACAGGAGGCCAGCTTGTTTTGTTTTTATGACCGAAATTGCGGAAAACAACTCGTGAAGTTTGACCCGCTAGAAGAGCGAGGTGCGCGAGAACGCTGGGACCCTTTTTCCACTTGGATCTCCGCCCTTTTTGGCCCTCATGTCCCTCCGTCGTCGGACTAAACTCGCCCCCACTTCCTTGCCGCCTCGGCCGTATCTAGACCCACAGCGTGTAGCACAGACCACGCTTCAATATTGAGCATAATTTAAAAATGTCTGCATCAAGCTCACTGCAACACACTGCTGTAAGAGTATAATCAGGAAGCGAGGTAGGAGGGCAAAATAGGTTTAGCGCCACCGCAGCACGGGAGGGAGAATTACGTCCAGGAGCAAATGGATAAAAATAGACCGGAGGAAAAAAAAAACATGAATCGATTCTCTTGCGGACGTATAGATGCATCGGATCGTCGGCTGTTGGATCGATGCATCGATACAAAACGATTATTATTTACACCCCTAGATACAGGTGCTGGTCATAAAATTAGAATATCATGAAAAAGTAGATTGATTTCAGTAATTCCATTTAAAAAGTGAAACTTGTATATTATATTCATACATTACATACAAACTCATATATTTCAGATGTTTATTTTGTTTAATTTTGATGATTACAAATGACAACAAATGAAAATCTCAAATTCATCATATCAGAAAATTAGAATATTACTGAAGACCAATAAAAACAAAGGATTTATAGAAATGTTGGCCAACTGAAAAGTATGAACATGAAAAGTATGAGCATGTACAGCACTCAGTATTTAGTTGGGCCTCCTTTGGCCTGTATTACTGCAGCAATGCGGCGTGGCATGGAGTCGATCAGTCTGTGGCACTGCTCAGGTGTTATGATAGCCCAGGTTGCTCTAATAGTGGCTTTTAGCTCTTCTGAATTGTTGGGTCTGGTGTATTGCATCTTCTTCTTCACAATACCCCATAGATTTTCTATGGGGTTAAGGTCAGGAGAGTTTGCTGGCCAATTAAGAACAGGGATACCATAGTCCTTCAACCAGGTACTGGTAGCTTTGGCACTGTGTGCAGGTGCCAAGTCCTGTTGGAAAATGAAATCTGCATCTCCAAAAAGTTGGTCAGCTGCAGGAAGCATGAAGTGCTCTAAAACTTCCTGGTATGTGGCTGCGTTGACCCTGGACCTCAGAAAACACAATGGACCAACACCAGCAGATGACATGGCACCCCAAACCATCACTGACTGTGGAAACTTTACACTGGACTTCAAGCAACGTGGATGAAGTGCCTCTCTTCTTTTCCTCCAGACTCTGGGACCTTGATTTCCAAAGGAAATGCAAAATTTACTTTCATCAGAGAACATGACTTTGGACCACTCACCAGCAGTCCAGTCCTGTTTCTCTTTAGCCCAGGCAAGACGCTTCTGACGCTGTCTGTGGTTCAAGAGTGGCTTGACACAAGGAATGCGACAGCAGAAACCCATGTCTTTCATACGTCTGTGTGTGGTGGTTCTTGAAGCACTCACTCCAGCTGCAGTCCACTCTTTGTGAATCTCCCCCACATTTTTGAATGGGTTTTGTTTCACAATCCTCTCCAGGGTGCGGTTATCTCTCTTGCTTGTACACTTTTTTCGACCACATCTTTTCCTTCCCTTCGCCTCTCTATTAATGTGCTTGGACACTGAGCTCTGTGAACAGCCAGCCTCTTTAGCGATGACCTTTTGTGTCTTGCCCTCCTTGTGCAAGGTGTCGATGGTCGTCTTTTGGACAACTGTCAAGTCAGCAGTCTTCCCCATGATTGTGTAGCCTATAGAACTAGACTGAAAGACCATTTAAAGGCTTTTGCAGGTGGTTTGAGTTAATTAGCTGATTAGAGTGTGGCACCAGGGGCCATCAATTTTGAACCTTTTCACAATATTCTAATTTTCTGATATGATGAATTTGAGATTTTCATTTGTTGTCATTTGTAATCATCAAAATTAAACAAAATAAACATCTGAAATATATGAGTTTGTATGTAATGTATGAATATAATATACAAGTTTCACTTTTTAAATGGAATTACTGAAATCAATCTACTTTTTCATGATATTCTAATTTTATGACCAGCACCTGTAGATTTGTGAAATCTTTAATCTGTGGAGTTTTTAAGCAAATCCTTAGAATTATGCACATTATGATTGAATTATATTTCTATTCTTTAAAACAAAAGATTTTCACTTTTCCCAAAGATTTTAATAAAGTTTTCCGTCTTTAATTGAGCTTAATGTTTTCTATTGTCTGATCTTATGAGCCAGAATGCATCGTTACTCCCCTAATTAAAACTGTTTGTGTTTGCAGATATATTTTGCAGCTTTAGTTTGTGCAAATTTTCTTATATATGTAATTTTTTAATTATTAGAAGTTAGTTTAATAAAGGTATGCTTGTTTTATTGCTTTCCTGAACCACGTTAATGTTTTATTTTATAAAATGCACTGCACGGTGCAAAAAGACTCAATAAAACAGTGATAATTATCATTAAACAGCTTGCTTCTGATGTTTGTGAACAGAGAAATAATTACCACCTCACTCATTTTTTTTTTTTTGGCTCAACGATCGAAGGCAACAGAAAAGCCAGCTGCGTTAGTATTAATACAATAAGTGACGATTTTAAAAGGAGCTTTGTACTGCTAAGACATAAAGCCTCTTAGCGCTTTGCACCACATCTCTCTGTGTAAGTATGACTTATTGCTTCTTAGAGCCGCATCCATCCCTGTTATTTGTGGATGCACATGTTTATGTCTGAGTGGCTTTCATTAGAGACGTGCTCTCACGCTGTGGCTTTTGTCTCAGAACTCAAGTGCCCTGCTGTAAACCTTCTGACACTCTGTATCGCTCCTCTTCACAATGTACTAGATGAAGGAAATTGACCCTTTAATCGTCATGACTCACACATTGATTGAGAACTCTGCCCCAAGGCCTCAAGTTTACCAGCAAGTAAGGCCAGCCAAAGGCTTTGCTCCACCTCATCGTCACCAGTTGCTGCCGTTGTTTTGCAATGCTCCTCCCTTTTTCGATGTCCAAGTCAACTCGGCATCTTGGGACCGGTCTCCCTGTTTTGTTTGTTATGCTAGCACCTCCCCATCCATTGCTTTTGACTGTTCTCTTTATTAGTAGAAGTCATGTTCTCGTGGACATGACTTAAGAAAAATAGCTGATGTGTGTGTTCTCGCCACGGTTCAGTTTATCCCCTCTTCATTTTCAGGGTTTTTGTCTTTAACTCGCATAAAAAATGCTGGATTCACTAAAGTTGCTTTTCAATAAATTAGAATATCATCAAAAAGTACATTCAACTCATTTAGATTTAATATACGCAAACTATTTAACATGTTTTTTGCGTTAACTTGATGGTTGTTCTTTACATTAACCTTTTCATAATATGAGGACCCAAATTTGGGTCCTCCGCACTCGCCCCAAGATGGTTTTTAGACCTGTAACATATATACATATTAACATATTCTCTGGGGTCTTGCCTTTATTTTGATACCAAAACAATTAAAATAAACTCTGTAGTTCTTGAGATATATTCAATTCATTTTGGGCATGTTATTTTCAAGCATATTTCTCGAAAACAGGCCTAGTGTCCAAGAGGTTAAACAAAATCCCTGAATTCTGTTTCTGTTTTGCCTGAATTACTGCATCAGTGCAAAGCGTCATGGCTGCAGATCTGCTGAGCAGTAATAGAAGCCCAGTTTGATTTAATAGCTGCCTCAGGCTTGACTACATTGTTAAGTCTAGTCTGTCCCCTTCTCCTTTGAAACACTTTATCAATAGGCTGCAGTCAGTTTGCTGGTCACCCACAGTGATGCCAGGCTCATTAGACCAGGTATTAAAATGAAGCTTGTATCTCTGCTTCTGTCTCCTTGAACCCCAGTCGGCCTCAGCAGATGGCCGCTCACACTGAGCCTGGTTCTGCTGGAGGTTTCTTCCTGTTAAAAGGGAGTTTTTCCTCTCCACTGAGATAGCATTCAATGAACACCTAGCCTCCTTAGCAGTGCCAATTTGTAGTTGGATGTGTGTATATATTATAGAAAACTGTAACTGGAGCGTGTAACAAAAGTAATTTCCCTCTGGGATTATGAAAGTATTTCTGATTCTGATTAGTGGCATACCTTCATGGAGTGTGTTATTAAGTGTCAGCAGTCTCTTATTGGTTCCATAGGCCTTAATCTGACCATAAAAAATATATTTCTGTTTTGAAAAGTCTCTCATTCTTTAATCATTTCAAAAATGTTAACATTAGCTCTACGCCATCCTATTAAAAATTAGTCAGTCAATAAACAGACTTTTCTATGATATTCTAATTTACTGAGATCTACCTGTGTTATTGCCCCTCCCCCAGCCAGGGTGCTATTTTAAAGACTTGCAGGAAGATTTTTACCACAGTAAACCTTTTTAGATCACCACTTCCTTATTTTTTCCAGATTTAATCCTGTAGGATAATTTGTGTTGTTTTAATTAAAGCGTGAAAGATTATGGTGTTATTAGTGTAATCAGTTAAGATGCTTGATTATTTCATTAAAGCCCAACACTTAGAGTGTAGTGGTATAGATTATATTACATATCGGCACCAGTGGTTCAGATTATTCTACTATATTTCAGGTAAACTTCCCTTTTAAACCCCCCCTGCCGTCTAGTCATAAAGTGAATTCCCTGATTTTAACTGTGACCTCCCTTTTCCACCTCTTTGACCGCCCCAGGGTCCCCTTTCACTCTTTCATTGGCATACCGGCACCACTTCAGCTGCATTCCCACCTGTCCTGCAGCCAGAAGTCTGTCTCCCTCCTCCTCCTCTTCCTCCCCATGTAACTGGTAGTCCACATGACCCCCCCTCTGTGAAGCTCTCCGAGCTGTGGGAGAGTGTGCATGCTCTCTGTGGAATGCCATGTGGTTCCTGCTGCTTTAAATGTACCATGTGGTTGAACAGAGGGAGAACATGTTCAGGGAAGTGTGTGAACCATCGCAGGTGTGAGAGAGGAATGTCTTCATAGAGTCTCAAAAGTATTTGGGCCGTGTGTCATTTTGTGTTGTTTTTGTTGATTCTCTCATATTGGATTTGAAATGAGTTGGAAGTTAAAATACAAAGTATTCACTTATGTCAAACAAATCTTCTGCCAAAATAATCTGGAATATTTAGTCCACGTAAAATGGGTTTCAAATGATTTCTCTAAACAATAAACGCTTCCTTATCAAATGCTGAAAGTTTGTATTTAAAGACTAATTTATTCTGCCATTTTATATCCAATGTGAGCAGAAACAAAACAACTCAGATTGAAGTCACCGACTCAATGTTTGAGGACTGTACTGTTTTATATTTCTGACTAAAGTTGGTATCTGTTCTGTACACATTTCTTGGAAACAAGGGATCCAATGCAGCTGAAATCGAATGTTTCTGTCATAATCTTAACATTTCTTGAAAGTTATTAGGGTTGGAATGTTTGTTTAAGGTACATCTGAAAATCTGCTTCTTGATTTCAAAGGAATCAGTTCAAGAGGTAAAACATTCGATTAATAATCATTTGCAATTGAAGCAGTTTGATAAAACCACATCTTCAACCTGTTGAGTGGTGTTGTTTAAAAGTTTTAGAAATGTTTATTCCTGCTAAAAACCATTTCATGCGATTCCCTTTTTTTCTGTAGGAGCTATAATATAAGACAATAAAAGAGCATATTTCTACTATTCTGCCAGTTTGGAGCAACACACCTGAGTTTAGTATGAGAGTTGCTGCTAAACGAGGTTTTATCAATATTTCCCAATCAAAGAGAAATTGAAAAGTAGAGATAAACATGGCTGGCATCACTACAGTAGAAGTCTCTGCGTAGACCTTTCATTTTCCAAAAGGCTCAGAATCTTTCCAAACGTTAAATGTCCTTTGAAAGAAAAGTTAAACACCAAAAAAGATAAACCTCTTTGCCCACTGTAGCCTCCAAACTGAAAAGTCAACCGGTTGAAAATAGATCCTTTTTTTTTATTTCCACACCAGCCAGTCGCCAGTGTGGGATGATTGCAAATCTGGTAATCAAGTAGCCCAAATCAGTAGCCCAAATCAGTAGCCCAATTTACACTACCCTTTTAAAACGGTCCTACGAATGGTCTGAGCATGGTAACAAAGATAACTGCTGAGTGTAAAAGGTACGCACAAGTGAACCAGACTGTGTCGGACACAACGGAACCGCACTAAGCTGGTACTAGTTCATCAGTAGGACTCGGCGCTGTTCAGTTCTGGCACGGTTCTCAGATAACAAAGAGCGCATGAGGAGACGCCGTCATCTCCTTTCAGCCTCCTGTCAGCCTCCGTAATAAGGAAATTTCAGACATTCATAATAGGGATGGAACAGTTTATGAAAACCGTCCGAACCGTTCGAACCGTTCGGTTCGACTGTCTCGGTTTGGTTCACGTGTGTTGCGTTCAGTTCATGCGCTGCTCCTTTTTCTCATAGGCGATGCGATTACACTCCAGAGCAGAAGGTGGCTGTACTGCGACCAAAGCCAACCACCAGTAGTAAACAAGAAGAAGAAGAAGCGAAGCAGCGTAGCCGGGTGTAGCAGGGAAAAAAATCAGTTGTTGTGGAGAATTGTGTCGGAATGGCGAGTGGGAAAGAACAGGAGTTGGAAGACGCGCCAGCAGCACTTTATAGGTCTGCTGTATGGGACCACTTTGCATTTAGAGTGACTTACGATGACGGCGGAAAGAAAGCTGTGGATAAAAGTGCAACAGCAACACGACCAACATGTCAGGCTAACCCCGAAATCCCACATACTCCGTCAGCGCTCCGCCCCACTGCGCTCCAGTCCGGCTGCTCAAAGCAAAGCCTACAGCCTCCACTGTGGCTCCCTCCGTCCGCTCCGCTCTGAGTCCCTTGGAGATCGTAGAGGGCATGCGCCGGATGATTAAATTCAAAGCAGCAAAACATGCGGAAATGATCCAGGGCTTCCGCGGATCATTAAAAATAATTACAATTCATGAATTTTTGGGTATTTTTTCATTAATTTTATAAATAAAAAATTCATAAATTTTTATAATTTTTATATTTTTCGGTGTAACAATAAACATATACCGAACCGAAAACCGTGACCACGAAACCGTGAACCGAACCAAACCATGGATTTTGTGAACCGTTCCACCCCTAATTCATAATAATATATGCTTCCCTACCGTGCCACACCATTTCCAGCTATGATTCTGCTTAGCAATGTGACGAACCTCAACTCCTGTCATTGTTTCCTGAGTCAAAGGCTGCCTTTTTCACCTGACTCTCTTCAAACAATGAAAATATCATAATTATATCCAAACATCCTTAATGGTATGGGCGTCGCCATTTTGGTTTGCTTGTTTACCTGTAGAAAGCAGTAGTACTGTAATTGTACTTGTGTGATGTGTAAAGAGTTGTGAGGAAGCGAGCTCTGATTCAAGCTCAGTCCGAAACTCAGTACGGATCGGTTTTTCAGAGGGTAGTGTAAATGTGGCTCGTGTGTTTACTGTAGGCCATTTTAGTTTTGGACCACTTTATGGTTACTAACATGTTCTCTACTCATTAAACTTTGAAACATTAAACTTTTTTCTTCCAATAAAGTATTTGATCGATGTTGACGAACAACTTCACAGTCCTGCTGAGCTCCTTCAGTAGAAACACTCATAGCTGAATAAAGTTTGTCTTCTCTTCCTTCTTATTCCGCTTCTAATGGAACCAACTATTCTCTCTGATGGAGAAAAGTGACCGGAGAGGAAACATGATTCAGAAGGTTCATCTGCAGAGGGATTGCGTTTAGACTGCAGGTTTTGCTCGCATAGATTGCCTGATTTAGTGAATTAGTTCCCACTCTGGGATTAATCACCAGGCTCAGTGAGAGAGCCCTTGTAATGACACTGCATTAGATCTCCAGATCCTAAAGTGTATGAGCTGACCTGTTACATTTTTCTAACACTGTGCTCATCTTAACAGATGAACCCAGAAGACTACAGGGAACCAGTCTACGCGTATGTGCCGGAGGTGGAAGATATTGATGTAAGTCGTATCCTGTTTGACTCATTTCTTCATGCTGTTGTAAGATATGTTTTTCAGACTTTTCTTTTGTATTCAGGGTATAATCAGCAGACTTTATGAGCAGGAGAAACTGGTGAAGATGCAGGAGGAGAAGCTTCAGCAGCTGTTGAGAGAGAAGGTGAAGAGAGCGTGTTATTTATCATCATTACTTCCTTAGATGAAACAGTGTTAGAGATGCTTAAAAAGGTTGGCAGTATTTCCAGTGGCAGGGGCGGATTTACCATTAGGCAAAACCTGGCAGTTGCCTAGGGCCCCAAATTCCTAGCCTGACTTAGTCCGACTCAATTCTAGGCAGAATATGAGTCTGATGCTGCTCCATAGAGCTGTGATTATGGGGCGTGTTTCGAACGAACCAGGAAAAAAAATGCCTCTGCACTCAATTGGATAGACCTACAACCAATAAGAGCAACGGAGTGCGTGACGTATGTTAAGCGACGCATAGTTGTTGTCCACAAAAATCAAAGCGTGCAGTTTCACGCCTAGAATAAGAAGATGAGACTTGATCGCGTTTCTCTGTTCCTCTTTTAAAATTAATTTGCTGTCGATATCTTCTAGAACAGACCTAATAGCAGAATCTACTCACCCAAACTCTCCAGCGGCAGCCATTATTGTTGTCACCCAAGCGCGCTTTGGTCACGTGGTTGATTACGTTACTCTTGATCATCTGTCCATCATCGTATAAAGCCCGCCCTGACAATTTGATTGGATCGCCTGACAGTGGCCGATAATACTCGCGCTACTATGGAGCAGAGCCAGACCGAACTTCCCCGAACTCAAACCTTGTGGGCGGGACTAAGTTCGGACTGGCACCCAGGCTACCAAATTCCCCCCGTAAAACTCCTTTTACATGTATGGTTATTACTGCTATTACTTATTTGTGCACATGAATTATGTTTTTGATTAAACTCCTTTTACTCAAATAAAATCAGAACGCTTATAAAACCAAGTGTGTCTCAACCCCTCCCTTCCTTCAGTGTCCACCATATTGGATCAGTCCATTAGCTGCACATGTTCAGAAAGGTCCAAACAGACAGCAGCAAACCATTTGAAAACAAACGGCTGGAAGAGCAGTGTTGCCAACTTAGCGCTTTAGTCGCTATATTTAGCCACTTTTCAGACCCCTCTAGCACTTTGAAAGCGCCTAGCGCCAAATCTAGCGACTTTCTTCTGCTTATGGAGACTTATCTAAAAGCAGCGAACTCTGCTCTCAAGAGCAAGTAGATTGGTAACCCCGCCTCCTGCTCTCCTCTGTCTTGTCTGCTGTCATGATTCATGCAGCTATTATTTCATTCAAATGAAAAATGGAGAACAGATAAGCAGATCATGGCTTGTCTACAGTGAAAAGAAGGACTGGGTTATTTACTTTGGCCTTTTTGGAATCACAAGAAAAAGGGAAAAAAGAAAACAGAGAGGAAAACCTCAAGAAAAGGGATAAGAAGAGAGGGAATCAAGGTAGAACAAATACTGTATGTCTATTCTTTTAAACTTTCTGTATCTGTAGAATGGGTCTGTTTTATGTGTTGTCTTCTCAATTCAGAGGGGCCCCTGCCTGTCTTTGCCTAAGGCCCCAAATTTACTAAATCCGCCCCTGTCCAGTGGAATAAAGCTAAATTTTTCTAAACAGTTTAGTGTTGTTTTCTTTGTTTCAGATGCAGATTTTGTAATTTTTTTTTAAGGTTTTAAACTAAACAAATTCTGACACAGTTAGAACAATTCTATTCTATTCTAAAAACTAATCTAGAAGGTAAAGGATTTTTTTAAATGATTTATTTAATTAAGTTAAGAAGATAGAACAAAAATGGCCACAAGTTTGAATTTACAGTGGATTTTATATCCATATATATTAATATTGTATATATACACTCACCAGCCACTTTATTAGGTACCCCATGCTAGTAACGGGTTGGACCCCCTTTTGCCTTCAGAACTGCCTCAATTCTTCGTGGCATAGATTCAACAAGGTGCTGGAAGCATTCCTCAGGGAGTTTGGTCCATATTGACATGATGGCATCACACAGTTGCCGCAGATTTGTCGGCTGCACATCCATGATGCGAATCTCCCGTTCCACCACATCCCAAAGATGCTCTATTGGATTGAGATCTGGTGACTGTGGAGGCCATTTGAGTACAGTGAACTCATTGTCATGTTCAAGAAACCAGTCTGAGATGATTCCAGCTTTATGACATGGCGCATTATCCTGCTGAAAGTAGCCATCAGAAGTTGGGTACATTGTGGTCATAAAGGGATGGACATGGTCAGCAACAATACTCAGGTAGGCTGTGGCGTTGCAACGATGCTCAATTGGTACCAAGGGGCCCAAAGAGTGCCAAGAAAATATTCCCCACACCATGACACCACCACCACCAGCCTGAACCGTTGATACAAGGCAGGATGGATCCATGCTTTCATGTTGTAGACGCCAAATTCTGACCCTACCATCCGAATGTCGCAGCAGAAATCGAGACTCATCAGACCAGGCAACGTTTTTCCAATCTTCTATTGTCCAATTTCCATGAGCTTGTGCAAATTGTAGCCTCAGTTTCCTGTTCTTAGCTGAAAGGAGTGGCACCCGGTGTGGTCTGCTGCTGCTGTAGCCCATCTGCCTCAAAGTTCCACGTACTGTGCGTTCAGAGATGCTCTTCTGCCCACCTTGGTGGTAACGGGTGGTTATTTGAGTCACTGTTGCCCTTCTATCAGCTCCAACCAGTCTGGCCATTCTCCTTTGACCTCTGGCATCAACAAGGCATTTCCGCCCACAGAACTGCCGCTCACTGGATGTTTTTTCTTTTTCGGACCATTCTCTGTACACCCTAGAGATGGTTGTGCGTGAAAATCCCAGTAGATCAGCAGTTTCTGAAATACTCAGACCAGCCCTTCTGGCACCAACAATCATGCCACGTTCAAAGTCACTCAAATCACCTTTCTTCCCCATACTGATGCTCGGTTTGAACTGCAGGAGATTGTCTTGACCATGTCTACATGCCTAAATGCACTGAGTTGCCGCCATGTGATTGGCTGCTTAGAAATTAAGTGTTAACGAGCAGTTGGACAGGTGTACCTAATAAAGTGTATATACAAATATAAATATATATATTAACAAAATAAAATGTAATGTTTAGAAAATGTCACTAAATGAAGATTGCAGCGAAATCAGGGACCTTTTTGGAGAAAAGTGTATTTATTATAACTTGTATAATTCCAGTGGGATGTTTCTTATCATAATTGGTAGAACTCATTTAAAGTATTTGGTTTCACAGCACAGTCCTGCTTTTTATTCTATGTGATTTTTATGTTTGGTTAAGATCATTCCAGAGGTTTAACGTTAGTCTTTTTAATCCAATGCTAAAAACAAGTTACTTTTAAATGTTAAGAATTTAGGGGCAGATAAAAAAACCCCCAACAGTTTGATTAAAATCCACCATCGCTAACAAATATCCTGCTAGAAAACTGACATAATTAAGTATTATTTAAATCCCCAAATTAATTAATTTTAATTTAAATTGATCTATGATCACGACATTTTTCTTTTCTGAGTGTTTGATAATCTGTGTTTTTTAGCACACATTGGAGACGGCGCTTCTGTCAGCCAGCCAGGAGATTGAGCTGGGCTCTGAAAACCCGGCTGCCTTGCAGGGCGTCATTCAGCAGAGAGACTTGCTGCAGAGCGGCCTCCTCAGCACCTGTAGAGAGCTATCCAGAATCACTACTGTGAGTTAAAGCTATCCTCTCCTCACACACAATGGATACTGAAGGATTCCTTCAACCTTGAGCTTTCAAGAAAACAGTTTTCAACTGATTGTTTTCTTTCACTCCCAAATTAGGAGTTGGAGCGCTCCAGTAGGGAATATGAAAGGATAGAGGCAGAGCTCATTATAGCCAAGAACAACTTGCTGCAGCAGCTTGAAGCTCTGGGAAGCCCACAGGTAAGATCATTGATGTTGCACAAATTACCAGTTAATACGGTATTAACAAAGAACAAAGCATGGAAAATATAGGAGCTTCAGATAAAGCTCAACTCATCTTTATATTGACACCTTGAGCAAATGCAAAAAATTCTGCTTTGAGGGCTGTTATAGAAAAAGAGAAAATTATACATCTTTTGACAGTTTTAATTAAGTCTGTTTTTTATTTTTGAGATTAAGAACTAACATGTTTATCCTTTTAGAGCCAATATTCATTAAAAGCAGGGAAGTAAAATACCTGCTTCCTTTGTTTCCTCCCAGTCCTGCCATCACCCGGGGTGAATTATCACAATGCTCCTTTCCTATTGTCTAACATCTCTAGTTTGACTTATCTAACTCTATCTTATCTTTTAGCCTAGACTAAAGTTGGTCACCATCTTAGTTACAAACTGCTGGGGGGATTTTTCACCCATCATTTATCACAGGTCAGCCAACATGGTTCTGGTGGTTTCTCTGTCACTAACAGCAGTGGGCTCCAGGGAAGCACTAAGCAGAGATTATTAAATCTGGTCCCCCAAAAAATCTGAAGGCTCTGATAAATTCACCTGTAAGCCAAAAAATCCAGGAAAAGTTCTGTTGAACTATCTGGGTGCAAATTATGAGTAAAGATGAATTTCCATGTTCCTCCTTTTCTGAAATAATACACTTTAGATCCTAAAATCAGACCACTGAGCAAATTACATTTTCCTCCTCTCAATCCTTACAATACCTAATTTACCAGCCTTTTGTCATCTTTCCAGCGTTTTTTATTGTCATTACACTGTCACAAGTACAGCGCAACGAAATTATCTCCCTGCATTTAAGCCACCCCCTTTGGAGAGCAGCGGGCTGCCATTATGCGGGACCCAAGGAGCAGTGTGGGGTTTAAGGGTCTTGCTCAGGGAGTGGCGGTCCGTGTGGGACTTGAACTTAGAACCTAAGGATTCCAACCACAGTGCCCTAAACATTAGGTCGCCACTAGGCTGCCACTCCTCAAAGCAGGCATTAGCGTGAATGGTCTTGCCAAAGGACTCACACTGGCAGCTCATTCCCCGGCGAACCCAGGCTTGTTGGACGGGTGACCTCCCACTTGAGCTAGGCAGCTGCTTAAAGTCGTAGGGAAATCATATATAAATGTCAAATCATTCTGGCTTAAACATTTATATAAATCTACTCTTTATCGGACATGATCTTATTTTTTCTGTTATCTTATGCAGGCCAGTTAGTTATACGTCAGCCTGAACACCTAAATTCGGCCAGTGGGCGACAGTGGCGTCGGATGTAGGAGTTTGCCCTGAAATCGGAGGATTGATGGGTCAAGCCCCGGCTCCGACTTTCATTGTCGTTGTGTCTTTGGGCAAGACACTTCACCTGCATTGTCTACTGATGGCGATCAGAGGGCCCGGTGGCGCCAGTGTACGGCAGCCCCGCTTCTGTCAGTGAGCCCCAGGGCAGCTGTGGCTACAATGTAGCTTGCCACCATCAGTGTGTGGTGAATCAATGTAGTGTAAAGGGCTTTGGTCAAGTCTCCTGAATTGAATAAAGGCGCTATATAAGTAAATGCCATTTACCAATTATATATCAACGGATATCTGTCAATCAAATTTTTTGGGTCATAGCATCTTGATTCATATGTCGCAGCTAATATAGGCAACAGTTGAAATAAGAATAATTTCCTTTCCCATTGAGTTCCGTCCCAGTGTTCACGGGGATGGAACTCAAACATGTACGGCTGGAAGCCTTCTACACCAAACCAAGCTTCTGCCGCTCTGGCGTCCTCTTCCACAACATCTTCATCCCCGCTTTCCTCCTCTAAATAAAAAATGGATGACGGAGGAGACTCATCCACAACCTCCGACACTAAACTCTCCTCCTCTTGCATGTTTCCGCTGTCCATAGCGTTCCTTGACAGTGTCGTTTCTAAGTCACCAATTTAGTGCTACTTGGTCCCAATGGAATTTCCCATTGGGAACCTGCTAGCACTAAGTTGCTAACTATTAAGATGCTTACAAGAAACCAGCCACAACCAAACTTGCTTGGGAAACTTCCGCCACAACAATCCACTCGTGTAAAGTCAGGCACCACTCGGGAGAATTCGGAAATGCGACGGTTGGAAGAGCCGCTTCCATAGATCTTTAAAAGGCATTAACTTTATGTAGAGCGTTTAGAGATATGATCCACTCACAACTGATGTCAATTTTGTACAAAGATGAGAAAAAGTGGATAAATAACCTGACCAGCTTTACAATGGGTCAGTCTTAAGAAAGCCAAATGCTAAGTTTTGTAGGCTAGTCGTTTTACGTACCAAATTTGTTCTCATTGTAAATCATATTTACAACAATATATTTATTCATGTGGAAAAACCACTAAACTATAACCTATATGCAGAGATGGGAAGTAACGAAGTACAAATACTTTGTTACTGTACTCAAGTAGATTTTTCCGATATTTTTACTTTACTTTACTACTTATTTTTATGGCGACTTTTACACATTACTGCAGAGGATAAATCCCTTCATTTCAACATTTTTACACATTTTTACACAAATATCTGTACTTTCTACTCCTTACATTTAAAAAAAATGGCTCGTTACTTTAGTTTTGAATCATTTCAATGGAGTTACCGTTATTATTTTTCACGTCATCAATACCAAATTCAATCTAATCGGATGGGAATCTACGTCGCATTCGACGCACCACTACAAGATGAATCGACAGATTCGGCGGTATTCATTGGCGGTAAATCATTGCAGCTTGGTGGCGGTGGCGTTAGCATAGTAGCATGGACGACGAGATGATTGAAAATGAACACAACGGAGATCTAGTCCTATTGGCAGACATCCATTTAAAATGTAGGCAACGGCATGAAAAAAGTGATTTCTACTTTTACTTTTATACTTTAAGTAAATTTACAAGCCTGTACTTTGTTACTTTTACTTGAGTAAAGAAGTTTAATCAGTACTTCCACTTTTACCAGAGTATTTTTTAACACAAGTATCTGTACTTTTACTCAAGTACGGAAAGTGAGTACTTTTGCCATCTCTGCCTATATGTTTAATGTCATTAGGAAATAATATTGGCAGTTGCTTGTGTGACATTTGTAAAATGCAGCTCATGTAGCAAGACACTGAAAAAACTAACCTTCAGTTTTTTTGGGGGTGTTTTCTTCCACGCACTTTCAGACGGAGCCTCCCAGTCAGCTCCATGTCCGCATCCAGAAGGAGCTCTGGAGGATTCAGGATGTGATGGAGGCCGTCAACAAACAGAAAGCTCAGAGAAACGCTGCAGAGGGGCCAGGTTTCTATGGATCCAATTCCAACTTCAGTAAGCACAAAAATGAGGTGAGCGGCCATTAAAACCACTGTTCCAAATCAATTAGAGAAACCAGCTCAAGTTAACGAGTTTATGTTAATGCACTTTTTGGTTTATCCTCTAATGTTAATGTTGGTTCTTCCTTTTTGATAATTTCTTGAAAAGAAGTGATTTATCCTGTGCAGTAATGTGGACAGAAGCTGCTTGCTGGCAGCTTTAATGGCCCTAAAGAATTGCGTCTGTCAGGCGGTAACAATAAAGGAGGCGTTCTCTGGCTAATCAGATGGTCAGCACATACCATGGGCTAAAACTACTCTGTGCCAGATGGCTGTTACCCTGATCCTACATGGTGGCACCATGTGTCACTTTGCTTCCTATCCTGTAATGCCCTATATAATCCCCAGGAGGAGGACTCGGCACCCCCGCGGCCGCCTCTTCCCCATTCCTATGAGCCGAACTCCCCCGTTGTGCCCCCTCTGCCCGCCTCTCACTCTGGCGCACGGCCATCTTCGCTCCAAAGGCCAGAGGACAGGAAGGCCAATCAAAGGAATAGCTCACAGAGCGTAAGCTTGTTGACCCGCTGACCCCTTTTGGTTAACCCCGCCATCAGCTGCTCCATCACACTCCTTAGTTAACTGGATGTGTTTCAGTTACTTTTCTGTTGGGTCATTTTTCGCATTTCTCAACATGCTTCCATCTTTTTGCTTATTTCTCTTTAATCAATGTCTTTTTTTCTGTTCTCCTGTGTTATAACTTGATTTCACCTTATTCTGTTTACATACAAACCATAAGTTTGAATTTGTTGGCCTGCTTTCTAACTGACTCAAACTACAATAACTTATGATTAAGTCTTTGATGATGTATTTAACCTGTTTTTTGGTTGCAGGGTCCTGACTACAGGCTGTATAAGAGTGAACCGGAGCTGACCACGGTGGCCGAGGTGGATGAGAACAACGGAGAGGACCGATCAGAGCATCCGTCTGACAGAGAACATGCTGGAAACAAAGGTGGGAAACTGTTAAAAGCCAAACTAAAAAAAGGAAAGGTTGTGTTTTAAAGATGTATTACACACAGATATATTTTATGTGATTATTACACTTAATTTGATGATTAAAACTGAAAGATATATCAAAAACATTTAAAACATTCAATAAAATCAGAAGAGAATTTGAGCTGAATGGCAGAGATTTCTTCAGATACCTACAGCTAAGACACTTCTATTCCAATGAGGTTGAGAAAGAATTATCACCAGAAGGAAATTAGTTGATTCAGCTCTTTGTAGATGCATACACGAAAACCCCAATAAAAGTTGTATCTAAACTTTATAAAAGCCAACAAAAACGAAATGGAAATAACTCATTATATATAAAGTCCAAATGGGAAGCAGAGTTAAAAGTGAAACTGTCAAAGAGTGACTGGCTTTCAATGTGCAAAACACTCCTCCACAAGCTCCAGAGGCTGGAGGGAATTTGGATGGAAAAATTTAATACGCTACTTCATAACACCTCAATTACAAAATAAATTATTCCATAATCAACAACAATGTTGGAGGCAATGTGGACAGATGAATGCCAGTCACTCTCATATATTTTGGCAATGTACAAAAATACAAACCTACTGGGATCAAGTTGTTAAGGCTACAGAAGAAATAATAGGATACAAGATACCCAAGGACCCACGAATAATTTATTTAGGCTGGCTGGAGAGTGAAGAAATACACCGGAAGTACATCTATCTTCTCAAAATCTTGATAGTGGCAGCTAAAAAAGCGATTACCAGAAAATGGTTTAAAAGTGACCCTCCACACCTGACGCAATGGATTTTAATAGTAGAGGAAATCTTCACAATGGAGGAAATGACCTACCACCTAAGGATCAAGTACAAATACCTGAAGGAACAGTGGAAGAAGTGGTTTGATTACACAAATCGGAAAGGACTGACCCTCAATAAGACTTGAACTACATATAAACCTTTTTTTAAGACTTGTGTGAACCACATTCACCAAACTCGGATCCTGTTATACCTTTGCTGTATTTTTATCGCCTTTCTCTGTTCATATTCTTTTTTTTTGTCTGTTTGCTTGTTTTAATGTAAAATTGAAAAAGTACTAAATAACTGAAATATAAATCAGGAATTCAGTTCCTTAGAGAAATTTTAATTTCACTTAAGAGAGAGAAAAGAAATGTCTGTATTCTTAAAAGAATGCTGATGCGCCAATCAGTTCTTGTTGTCACACATTATAGCATCAGTGTATCATAGCATTGAGGCACCGCTGAGGTATGAAGGAAGCTCAGCTCCCATCAGAAATATGTCCAGAAATTTGATTCAGGACTCTGAACAGCTTATTTCACAGGGTGTCTGTTACAGCCGCCATGTTAGTCCTCTTCCCCATGATTCTGTAACCAGAACTCAGTCATAATTCAGCCTCTACTGGCGTCACCTGGAAGTCACAGGATGCTCCCCAGTGGCAAAATGAAACTCCATCCATGTTTTGGAATCTGATAGCAGAACATTTAAGACCAGCACATTGAGAAGTCAGTATGTTACTTGTAAAGATAAGGCCACATTAAAGGAATAGTACACCCAAAACATGATTAGCCTTCATTTTCTACTCACCCCCATACTGAACAACACTCTGGAGTACTTTTTTGATATCTCAAACGCATCTGGAGATCTGGGAGGCTTCTTGCTGTCTGCTGACATTCAAATAATGGAGGTCTATGGCGCCCGAGGCAGAAAGGTCCATAAAAGTCCACAAAAAACGTGTCAATATTCCTCCATACTGCTCGTCCAATGTATTCCAAGTGTCCTGAGTGGGTAGCGTCCAGAATTTACTCGAAACGAAGTCATTTAGAATGTTTTTAGAGCATAAACAGTAGTGTTTAGGATTTCCTGAAAGTGCGCACACGCGCGCTCATGACGCTACGGAAACCGCGGCAGACCAAACCAGATGAAAGTGCGCATTCAGCTCGGCAAAGAACTCATGCTCTTCCTCAACACTGAAGTCCTCAGATATTTTTCTTTCGTTGTTTCTTTCTTTGCACAGGTAAACAGCACATTTCTTCTTCTACGCTTGCATTATTGGAAGAGCAGACGCTGAATGCGCACTTTCATCTGGTTTGATCTGCCGGCTTCCGTAGCGTCGTGAGCGCGCGTGTGCGCGCTTTCAGGAAATCCTATACACTACTGTTTATGCTCTAAAAACATTCTAAATGACTTCGTTTCGAGTAAATTCTGGATGCTACCCACTCAGGACACTTGGAATACATTGGACGAGCAGTATGGAGGAATATTGACACGTTTTTTGTGGACTTTTATGGACCTTTCTGCCTCGGTCACCATAGACCTCCATTATTTGAATGTCAGCAGACAGCAAGAAGCCTCCCAGATCTCCAGATGCATTTGAGATATCAAAAAAGTACTCCAGAGTGTTGTTCAGCATGGGGGTGAGTAGAAAATGAAGGCTAATCATGTTTTGGGTGTACTATTCCTTTAATTGGCCTCTCTAAATTCCCTTTAGGTGTGAGTGTGTGTGTGAATGGTTGTTTGTCTCTGTGTTGCCCTGCAATGGACTGGCCATCTGTCCAGGTTGTACCTCGCCTGTCGCTTGCAGACAGCTGGAGATAGGCACCAACAGCCCTCAGGACCCCAGCAGGGATAAGCGTAATGGAAAATGGATGGATGAAGTGTCCATCTTCTTAAAAGATTTCCGCTGCAGCAATCAGTTCATGTTCTCATACATTAGGATCCCTTTGCATACATTATAGCATCAGTGTATCATGGCATTGAGGCACCGCTGAGGTATGAATGAAGCTCAGCTCCCCTCAGTCACCTTTCTTTTAAACTCAGCCAAGTTTGCTGGCCAATTGCCCACAAACAAGCCATGGACATGAAAGAATGTATTTTTTCTGTGTGGACGGGTGCAAAGTCCTTTTAGAAAATGAAAGCAGCATCACCAAAAGGCCTTTCAGCAGAGGGAAGCAGGAAGTGTTACCACATTTTCCCTCCCTCCACACAGCTGTCCAAAAATATCATTGGATTCAGGACTCTGAACAGCGAACTTATTTAGCACCGATATTCTACTGCTTCCTCTCTGAGCCGCCGTTTCTCAATTCACAAGATTAGCGACTCGTGTCCTCATTAAGTATGTTTATGATGTATGAAGTTTAGGTGAACATTGACCCTTGTAATTCTTAGGTCAGTATTGGTAGCCCTTCCTGTGACTCAGTGCCCCTGAATTAGCCCTCAACTGTAAAAAGGTTGGTGACCGCTGGTCTAGATAATAATAAATTATTACTTTTTTCATTTATTGGGGGGAAAAATATTTAACGCAGTCAGATAAACACAAATCAAATTGGCATTTTGCCAAATAAAACAAAAAAATACTTCGCACACAGAGGGCTGCTGCAGACGGGCTAACGTTAGCCCTGGCTGTGGTCAGCTTCGGAGGTCCACTGGTTGCCGTGGTCCTCTCAACATCCAAACTTCTTTTTTTTTTTTTTATTAAGCATTAAATCAGTAAATTGCCGTATAGTGATGCTTAAAAGTACAATGTTCTCGCCTCAAATGATGATGAAATAATTTTATAGAACAACGGCAACAGAAAAGAGAAGGTTTAACTTAATACCCTGAGCGCTGTGTTGGCTAACCTGGAAGCTGCTGCCGCAGTGCATGCTGGGACTAGGGATGGGGATCGAAACCCGGTTCTATCAAGGACCCGGTTCCACTTTTTTCAAAACCCGAAAATCAATAACGTTTGGGCTTATCGATACCACTATCGAGTCTGGTCGTTTTTTTTTTTTCTCCCGGAGGTCCTGTAACATAATTGTGCGTCCCTCGAGTCGCGACACAGCATTTAAATCTAATCAATCCAATCACTGCAGCATGTCCACCAATATTTTGGAATGAAATTGTAAGCAAACAGATATTAAAAGTAAAACAAGTGAAGTCTGGCACTTAACTTCACTCGCGACTCGAGGATGGCTGAACGGACAAAAAAGGTCTAAAGTTTGGCTTTATTTTACCAAGCTCAAAGATAAAAAAGAAGCAAAATCGTCTCTTTTAAAGGGGGGAACACAACCTCAATGGCCAAGCACATTAGTATTGTGCATGAAATAAAGGCCAAATGCAGTATCTTTGACTGTCTCCGGGTTGAAAAGACTCCTCCTCCTCCTGCTGCTGCCGCCGCACCACAGTCTTCATCATCCACTCAGAGTACCACTGGTTAGCGCGCACACAGACTTTGTAGCTTGTCCGGTCAGTTAAAAATAGTAATTGTGAAATCCGTGTTGTAATCGGCAGCATACAAGCTAGTTAGCTTGAAAAGTAAATAAAGTTTCAGACGTGCTGCGTGATGATGTGTTCAGATTGCCTCAGTAAAACGACAATTAGGTTATCATGATGCGTTCAAGTGTAACGTAAAGAAAAGGGAAATTGAGTTTTTGGCGAGAAACATGAGTAATGCAGTTGTATTTTGCTCTAATTATTTTAGAATATATAATTAAACTACTGATGCCAATATTTATTAAAAATTACATTTAATTTAAAAAACAATTATTTATTTGCTAAATATTTTCCTAATCACTAAAAACATGATGAAAAGTGACAGTAGACAATACATTAACCAACAATTGTGAAAATTTATAAATTTGTTTTAACCAAAAGAAGACATTTCTGCAAATAGTGTTTTTTTCCCGCCTCCTTTCTGTCTGTTAAAAACATATTGTCGCATCGTCTTTCCACCAAATAACAGAAAAGTATCGATAGTGGTATCGATAAAGACTCGGATCGATAAGGAGTATCGATAAAGGCATTGATATCAATAAATATTAACGATCCCCATCCCTAGCTGGGACAGCCTTCAATCTCTAGAACGGAAGAGTCTGCTCTGATGCATGCTGGGTAAAGAGGGAGGGGTGAGAACAACATCTTTGTCCGTTCTCGGTCTGCTGTTCTTGTGAATTGGAAGAGTGCTAAGTCTGAGGCTGATGACGTTTGACAAGCACACGAGGACGCACAAGTACACATATTGAGAAACGGCCAGGGTGTCTGTTACAGCCGCCATGTTAGATATCTTCCCCCATGATTCTGTAAACAAAACTCATTCATATTTCAGCCTCTAGGGGCGTAACCTGGAAGTCACAGGATGCTCCCCAAGTGGCAACGCTGCACTGTCACTAAATGAAACAGACTCCATCCACGTTTTGGAATCTGATAGCAGAACATTTAAGACCCGCACATTGAGAAGTCAGTGAGTTACTTGTAAAGATAAGGCCACATTCACCCCCTCTAGATTAAATCCTCAAAGTACCAGAAATATGTCTGATCAAGTAAGTCTCATATCTGTTCTGTTGCTTAACAACAACTTTTATCAACTCTTTCTCATATCTGTTTAGGCATGTCCTACCCCGTTGGCATCGTCCCACCCAGAACCAGGTCCCCAGTGCCTGAGTCTTCCTCCATAGCGTCCTACGTCACTTTGAGGAAAAGCAAGAAGCCCGACCCCAGGACGGTAAGTGGCTTAATGTCAAGCGCCATCTTAATTGAGTTGAAGTTGTGCAGCAGGGCAGTCAACACATGGCCAGGCTGTTACTCATGCGCTAAAACCAGGCTTTCATAAAATAGATGCTAAGTGAGGTTTTATAGGCTTTCCAGCCTCAAACTATCATCTTACATAAACCAACCATATCATTAGTGCACCGCGCTGAAGGGTGTGTCCTCTTTCCAGTGTGTCTGCATTGGTTTCTGTTTAAAGAGAGATGAAAATATAAATAAAATCTCTCCTACTTACTTACTTCTTTGTTTTTTGTTGATCTAAAGGCCATTTACTCTTTCAGATTGTTTCTTAATGCAGTAAAGTTTGTGCTTGGATTTTAACACCAGGTCCACATCTGTGAGTCCTTCAGCAAAGCATAAACCGGAAAATTAGCGACTTCACATCATCAGCCCCTTCTATTGAGGCATTAATAAGCCCCCAGCCCCTCAGAGTGCAGCCATGCGTGTCTGTAAGAGCGTGCCAGCATGCAGGAGTCAGGCTGTTCGGGCTGCAGATCAGCCAGTTTGCAGAAAGTAAAGAGTTTAAGTTGTGTAACGGTCAAGGAAGTCTCTGTTTTCTGCATGCACACCATATTTGGGGGTAACATTTAGACTAAATTCAACCATAGCCAATTTCACAGTTAAAACAGCACCATGGGATCTGACCTAACTAGAGTGTGACACCATTTGGCTTCATGCACTCTGTGAGCATAAGTATTAAAAAAAATCATGGCAGCTGCATATTCAATGCCGAACATCTTCACTATTTTACTATACTTACATAATATTTCAGTGTGCTCGTAAATAGCTTTCTACTTTGGGTTGCTGTGAATCCCAGTTGAATCACCTTGTACTAATTTGTGTCTAGTTAAAATGACTATCGCAGCCATCAAGTACAAATTCGCATGACGACATAAAACCATCTGCACTATTTCACTGAGAGTATTATTTTTCCCACACACTTTAAAGGAACATAAACCCCTCCTCCAAACAGGATTATTTTCAGGCATGCACACTAAACAAAATATGGCTACAACAGGTGTTTCAGCTAAGCAATATACGGCAGTGGTTTGGATTTCATGCCGTGGACGTTTAACAAAATGCGCTAATTTCACTGCAAAAAATCTAAATCTAGATAAGTCATTTTTTCTTAAAATAAGTGCATTTGTTCTTGAATTGAGGAGCTAAAAGAGACATTCTGCCAATGGAACAAGACAATTTACACTTACAATAAGAAAACACAATTGCATTGTCTTATTTCAAGTGCATATTACCTAATTATCTTATTTTAAGACTAAAAATACTCATTCCATTGGCAAACTATCTCATTTACCTGCTCAAATTAAGGGTAAATTCACTTAATTTAAGACATTTTTTACTTATTTCTAGATCGTTTTTGCAGTGTTGTAGACTGTAAAAAATGTTAATCTAAATAAGTAATTTTTTCTTAAAATAAGTAACTTTTTTTCTTGAATTTAGGAGGTAAGTGAGACACTTTGCCAATGGAACAAGAAAATTTACATTTAAAATAAGAAAAAATAACTGCCTTGTCTTATTTAAAATGCATATTATCTAATAATCTTGTTCTAAGAGTAAAAATACTCATTCCATTGGCAAACGATCTTATTTACCTGCTCAAATTAAGAGTAAATTCCCTTAATTTAAGAATTTTTGTACTTATTTCTAGATCGTTTTTGCAGTGTAAGTCTAAAAACCATTGCTGCAAAATGTAGGAGTACAAAAGTTTTGCAGGATCTCGCAAAACTTTATTTTTTCCCTCCTTGTCCCTTTAGGGGCTCCGTAATTTTCTGTGTGGCACACATGCACACTAAAGCAACTGACAAACAAAATAAGGCTACAGCAGGTGTTTCAGCTAAGCAATATATGGCAGTAGTCTGGATTTCATGCCGTGGACGTTAAACAAAATGCGCTAATTTGTAAGACAAAAAGCCATTGCTGCAAAAGGTAGGAGTACAAATTTATTCCACATCCTAAAAAGTAATCCGCTGCAAAATGAAGAATGTTGTAAACCCTGCATGTGAGCATCTCCCCACTCGGATATTAAAACGTTTGATAAATCAGCTGTGAAGCCGATGGCGTCGTCCTCGTCATTTGATAAAGCGATCCCATATGAGAGAAAAAGAAAAAGATGGAGGGAAATCAGTGACACTATTTATTACGTTATTTCAATGTTTTTTAGATGCTCTAATACCTGTGATGTTCAGATTTTTTTACAGGCGTTCTTTAACCCATTTAGGCCTAAAACGCCTGGAAAAAACACCTTAAAAACCTATGGCCGATTTTAAAAAATACCCCTAAAACCTGAAGTTTTTCTGTAAATTCAGCAACTGTGTCAATGCCTAAATTATTGATATCTCAGCTTCTGTAGCAGATAGAACTCAAAATATATTTTATCTTTGAAATTCTTCCAAAAAAAAATGTGAAAAGCAGTAATCAAAAAAAAAAATTCAACCTTTTATTTTTTCCATATGTGATCATGTCTTCATTGAGAATGTGCAATATAAAACGTTTTCAAAATAAAGAACAAACATTACATAAATAACTATCTGATGATTACTTATTAACAGTATTATTATGCATAATAATGCATATGTCTGTGTTATAAATTGCATACAACCTACCTCCAGATGGCCACAAATCTGTCCCGGGACATATTTTGGGGGAACTGCGTCCTGAAGAGAGGTTTACATACACAGCCCAATAAATGTCTTCATCTCCGTCACAGTCACGGGTGACCACTTTGCCATCTTTGCTCTTGTTGGAGTTTGGTTTGTTTGGTCACTGTACCTATTCGTCTCGGTAACAAGATGCATCCAAAGTTCTTCATTAAAAATATGCTCAAATGCCTGCAGCGGTGTGGCGTCTGCAGGCAAATCAACTTTCACTCCAGGTGTGCGGTTGAAAACACTCCGTGCATTGCGGTGGTAGTTCGATTGGTTCAGCGCGTTCAAAGTCATCATTTTCATCTATACCGTCATCAAAGCCGACACACTCCTCAAAATCACTGCCTTCCGACAACTCTTCTCTGTCAAACTCCTCCATGTTTGCTTGAAAAAAACTTCTTTCTTCTTGCTTGACTTATATGCTCTCCCGGCGTCAATGGTAGAATTACGCAACAGCGCCCCCGGCTTGAATGGTAGAAATGCGGTAATGCTTTCCCGGCCTAAATGGGTTAACTTGGCAATGGTCTCAAACGTATATCTTTTTGTGCTTCTTTAAAATTCACAGCACGTAAAGATCAGTGCAAATAGGAGCTGCTCTGATAATACTCTAATTTTTGGACAGTATTTCCACTTTTTTTGTAATTTGAGGTTAATTTCTACGGAGCCCCTAAAGGGACATGGAGGGGAAAAAAAGGAACTTTTGCGAGATCCCGCAATACTTTTGCGAGATCCCGCAATAGTTTTGCGAGATCTCGCAAAAGTTTATTTTTTGCGAGATCTCGCAAAAGTTTATTTTTTGCGAGATCTCGCAATACTTTCGCGAGATCTCACAATACTTTTGCGAGATCCCGCAATACTTTTGCGAGATCCCACAATACTTTTGCGAGATCCCGCAATACTTTTGCGAGATCCCGCAACACTTTTGCCAGATCCCACAATACTTTTGCGAGATCCAGCAATACTTTTGCGAGATCCTGCAATACTTTTGCAAGATCCCCCAATACTTTTGCGAGATCTCGCAATACTTCTGCAAGATCCCTCAATACTTTTGCGAGATCTCGCAATACTTCTGCAAGATCCCGCAATACTTTTGCGAGATCCCGCAATACTTTTGCGAGATCTCGCAATACTTCTGCAAGATCCCACAATACTTTCGCAAGATCCAGCAATACTTTTGCGAGATCCCGCAATACTTTTGCGAGATCTCGCAAAAGTTTTGCAGGATCCCGCAATACTTTTGCAAGATCTCGCAAAAGTTTTGCAGGATCTCGCAAAACTTTTTTTTTTCCCTCCTTGCCCCTTTAGGGGCTCCGTAATTTTCTGTGTGGCACGCATGCACACTAAAGCAACTGGCAAAAAAAATAAGGCTACAGCAGGTGTTTCAGCTAGGCAATATATGGCAGTAGTCTGGATTTCATGCCGTGGACGTTAAACAAAATGCGCTAATTTGTAAGACAAAAAGCCATTGCTGCAAAATTTAGGAGTACAAATTTATTCCACATCCTAAAAAGTAATCTGCTGCAAAATGAAGAACGTTGTAAACCCTGCATGTGAGCATCTCCCCACTCGGATATTAAAACGTTTGATAAATCAGCTGTGAAGCCGATGGCGTCGTCCTCGTCATTTGATAAAGCAATCCCATATGAGAGAAAAAGAAAAAGATGGAGGGAAATCAGTGACACTATTTATTACGTTATTTCAATGTTTTTTAGATGCTCTGATACCTGTGATGTTCAGATTTTTTACAGGCGTTCTTTAACTTGGCAATGGTCTCAAACGTATAACTTTTTGTGCTTCTTTAAAATTCACAGCACGTAAAGATCAGTGCAAATAGGAGCTGCTCTGATAATACTCTAATTTTTGGACAGTGTTTCCACTTTTGTTTTTGTAATTTGAGGTCAATTTCTTTTTTCATTCCGCAATTTATTTATTTTTTGTACAAAAGAGCCCTTGTTTATTTTTGCATTTTATTTACTGTTGCGTGTTTTTGCTTTGTTTCCTGTTTGGTTTTTTGGGATCTTGTCAAAGTTCTAATACTGAAACTCAAACACATCATGTGGCTGAATTATTAGTGAAAAGTTTTGAGCTATTTAAAATAAAATGAAATTTGAAGCCAAAAGTTTGAATTAGGGATGCACGATATTGGGATTTTGGCCGATATCCGATATGCCGATATTTTAAAACTCATGTAGCCGATAACCGATATCGATACTGATGTTAAAACTGGACAAAAATAAGTAGTTATTGAAAATAGCAGTTTTGTTATCCATTTCTGACACTTTGAAAAATAATATACTCAAATATATTTTCATATGCTGATATTAAATAGATTTTTAAAAACGAGGTATCGATCTATTTTACTTTCAAAATCTCGTGAAATTTCATCGTTCTGTTACAAACTCTCGCGATATTTTGCAAATTCTTGTGAGATTTTGTTAGTAAAATAGATCGATACCGCGTCAATATATCAACATATAAAAATATGGCAACATTTCATGAATTTTCGGGGGATTTCGTAGCATAAAGATGACATATAGCAATATTTCATTAGTAAAAGAGATTGATATGGTGTTTTTAAATGGCAATATATCAGCATATGAAGATATTGGGATATTTTAATGTATCAATATTTTTTCCCTCGTCTTTAGAAGTTTTTAAGTCTGTAAAAAAGAAGTTTTTGAGGAAGAAGAAGTAGTATTGTTTTTTTTTTTACACTTTAGAAACTCAGAAGCTGATCAAATATCGGGTTAAATATCGGTGGGGTGGCCGATGTCCGATATTTAGTTTTAAGGCCGATACCGATAGGGGGCCGATTATATCGTGCATCCCTAGTTTGAATTAGTTTATCAGTGCAATTTTTTGCAATCTATTTGTTTTTGTGATATATATGTCGTGTATATAGCCCAAATATATCCTGACATTAGATTTTCTTCATATCGCCCAGCCCTACTACATAATAGTATTTTTCTTTTCTTTGTTGTAACTTTCCTGCTCAAATAAAGAATGACTTTGTTTTCATCTCTGGCCAGGAACGTCCACACAGTGCCGTGGAGCAGCAGCTGTGTGCTGTGGATGGCAGCCGGCCCCGCATGAGCGTGGAGGAGCAGATGGAGAGGATTCGCCGCCACCGGCAAGGCACCCTCAGGGAGAAGAAGAAATCACTGAGCTTCCGGGGAGGCAGCCTGGAGAACACACCCGCCCGCAGTCACTCCTTCAATCATTTCCATAGCATGAAGGTATTTAATGACCCCTCCGTAAACAGCCTCTGATCCAAAAATGATTCAAAGCTCTCTCATTCCAATTTTAAGATTCCAGTTATCATTTTTATCAATCAATTTAACACCTGGTGGGGAAATGTTTTCAGTGTTGTGTGATAGGGACGGATGCTCTGAATGAGTACATGTGTTCCTAACAGGATCAAATCTATTCAGTTTAGTTCTATAGCGCTAATTCACAACACATGTCATCTCAAGGCACTTTACAGTTCAACCAGATCATCCAGTCAAATTGATTCAAAGTTTTCTATCCAAGGAAAACCAGTTGATTGCATCGACTCATTGACTCAGCATTCCCTCACACTAAGCATGCTTGTAGTGACAGTGGAGAGGAAAAACTCCCCTTTAACAGGAGGAAATCCCCAGCAGAACCAGGCTCAGTGTGAGCGGCCATCTGCTGAGGCCGACTGGGGTTCAAGGAGAGAGAAGCAGAGATACAAAAAGCAGCTGTAAAAGGCGGCCCAGTCCAGGAAACACACAGCCAGGCAGACGAGCTCCGAGCCAGCTCCCATGTCAGAGGATGAAGAGAGCACATCCAGCCAGTCACAGTCAGAGAAACAGGACTACACTGGAAAACAGGCTAATCTCCTACATCTATAAACAAAGGTGTTGATGGCAGCAGCACAGCTGATATTTCTCTCCAGGATGGAGTCACAGCCAAACAGGAACAGACCAGATGAAGCTACTATGAGAAAAAGCAGAGAGAGCAGAACGTTAGAGATTGAACTAACAGATTCTGCAGAGTGGGAGAATAGAGATAGAACGGTGAAAAAAGGGTCCCTATGTCCTCCAGCAGTCTAAGCCTATAGCAGCAGAACTATAGAGATAGCTCAGGATAACCTGAGCCACTCTAACTAGAAGCTTTATCAAAAAGGAAAGTTTTAAGCCTAGCCTTAAAAGTAGACAGGGTGTCTGCCTCACGGACTAAAACTGGTAGTTGGTTCCACAGGAGAGGAGCCTGATGACTAAAACTTTTTATTGGGTTCAAAGTAGTACCCAAAACTTCTTAGCTTTGTTTCATTTAACAAAAAATACAAAAAAATAGTCAGATTTTTCTCCCTTTGATCCATTGATTAAACAGGCTATAGAGAATATTGGCTCCTTCATATCTCTCTTACTGATTTTTCTATTTTGCCATTTTTGTGTGTTTTTATACCTTTAGGCCCATATTAGGCGAAGGGATGAGGTGATGAGCAGTGATATTCAGGAGCTGGAGGCCTCACTCAGACACCAGGACCTGGTGAGGGACCAGGAGACCCCTGCGGAGGAGATAGCCCGTCTCAAAGAGTCCTCTCAGGATGATCATTTCAACCTGGATCGAGAGGTAACTTCCAGCAACACATGGATCGACATCCTGGGGCAAAGACCGCTTTGGAGTAATCTTTGTTTAATGTTGCATAGTTTTTATCACTACATTCACCACATGTATATGTCAGCGCAGGAACGTCTTCACTTCTGTATATGATTAATCTAAATCATCAAAACTGTGGGATTTTTTTAGGATTTTAATCTGTTTTTGTATCTTTCAATGTACCATTTTTGTTTCTTTATTTGTTTATATAGAATCTTTAATGTGCGCTTGTTTCCATTTCCCAGCTTTCTGTGCCTGATAAAGTGCTTATTCCTGAGCGTTACATTGAATCAGACCCTGAGGAACCTCTGAGTCCTGAACAGGAGGCTGACAAGCGACGGAAAGTGGACCGTATTAAAGCCCTAATAGCAAAAAACAGGTAAATATGCACAGATAAAAAAATAAAAAAAAGATACTATTTGTAATATCCTGGACTTTCCTGTGCAGGCATTTAATAATAAAACCATCCTGAACATAGAGCTGCAGCAGCTAAATATTATTACTCAGCGGATTATATCCATGAATTTAGACATCTCAGACAAGTTATGGATTGTGTTTATAAAAGTATTTTCCCTCTTTCAGATTTCGTTGACTTTTAATTTATTTTTACTTTTACTTGTTCAAACCATTTTCACAAAAATAATCTTATTAAATAAGCAGTTTTCATTAACAATGAAAATGTCATCCCCAACACTGATTAAAAAACGTTGGTTAAGTCACAAAAATGTGACAGCGAACAACATTTTTACAGAGCAACATGTTTTGCCTTTATTGAAGTCGTAGGGAAGTTATATTGAAATGTCAAATCATTTTGGCTTAAACATGTATATAAATGTATTCTTTATCAGACGATATTGTCCCAAAATTTAGAAAATTTCTATTTAAAAAAAAATTCTGTCTTAACATCTGTTTTTTTCTTCTGCAGACCAGTTAGTTCTACGTCAGCCTGAACACCTAAATTCGGCCAATCATATATCAACAGTCGTCTGTCAATCAAATTTTTTCTGTCATAGCATCTTGATTCATATGTCGCAGCTAATATACGCAACGGTTGAAAAAAGAAATCAGAATCATTTCACCTTTGGCAGGGGTAGAGCTAACAGAACTGGCAGCGTTGCGAGGCAAGGGCTCAAACATGTACGGCTGGAAGCCTTCTACACCAAACCAAGCTTCTGCCGCCCTGGCGTCCTCTTCCACAACATCTTCGTCCTCGCTTTCCTCCTCTAAATAAAAAATGGATGACGGAGGAGACTCATCCACGACCTCCGACACTAAACTCTCCTCCTCTTGCATGTTTCCGCTGTCCATAGCGTTCCTTGACAGCGTCGTTTCTAAGTCACCAATTTAGTGCTACTTGGTCCCAATGGAATTTCCCATTGGGAACCTATTAGCACTAAGTTGCTAACTGGTTAGCAAGATGCTTCCGACAAACCAGCCACAACCAAACAGCTTGCGAACCTTCCGTCACAACAATCCCGCCGCTTTGATGAACGACCAATCACATTCACTTTATTCACTCACGTAAACTGTAACAGTTGGAACAGCCGCTTCCGTATGAGTTTAAAAGGAAGAGAAGGTTGGAAACAAACACGTCTTGCTGTCTGTGAAGATTTACAAAGTCGTTGCTAAATATCTGATACTCTAGTGAACAACAGTGAGTTATTATCCACGAACAGAACATGTATCAATAATGAACCCTCCCTTCTTTTCATCATTTAACAGTCCTGTTAAATATAAACTTGCCTCGCCTTCTTCAGCACATTCAATCTAGTGGAAAAGTCTGTTTATGACTCAGGTCACTATTGCAGGCCTCGGTTTAAGGCCTGCAATAGTCTGTTGAGGATACAGTGCAGCTCGATGATCCTCCTGATTAGAGCAAAATGAGGCAATTGTAAAACTTTTTAAAGAAGAAGTCTGGTCAGCCAGGAATAATCAATGGATAATTATCTGTACCTAAAATTTATATGTTTGCACTGATTTAATGAATTTAGCGTTAAGCAATAAAAAAACATAACAATAATTTTCGTCACGATCACAGAGTCTGGGAGCGGCCATTTTTGCCCAAATATAGTAACCCCTCCCTCCTGCCATCTTCCAGCAGTGACGTCACGGTGCGGTAAGCCTAGCGCCATTCTCCCCGCTTTCCAAGCTAAATCAATGGGAACTACTAGACACATCTGCAATCAACAACAATTATTGAAGATTTCCAGAGGACTTCACCATTGAAATTCACCAGAGCTATAGTGAAACTAACAATGCCCACGTGCATGGCAGCTGGATGCTGGAATACATCGGGTGAAAGTGGAAAAAAAAGAGTTATTCCACCTTTCTGATTCCTGATCCTCCACGGACGGGTTGGTCGTTAGATCGCCAACTTGAAGAGGGAGGATTTGCCATCGAACTTCTGGCCAGAGAAAAAACCCGTAATATGTAGCCAACATTTGGAAGAAGAATGTTTTCAAGATGACTTGGATAATAGCGCGTTGTGACAAACACCAGATACAGAACTGGGACTTGATCATCATATACCAGTCTTATATTAAAATTTTATCACTGCTGCACTTTAAAAATGGAAATGTCTTGAGAGCTGTATTGAACTATTTTTTTTTTGTATACACTCTGTGTGTACAAAGTGACATTTCACAAAATGACACCGCACTGTGACGTCACAAACCAGTAGGTGGCAGTAGTGTTCTTTAACAAACATGGATGCTTCCAGTAAAGCACATTCAAATGAAAAGTACTCCTAATTAAAAACACTCATTGAGCAGTATGTAATAAGTTCATATTTAAAGTACTTTCAGAAGTTTGAATATGACCGGACTTTTTCTTTAAAAGGCTGTTTTGCTGCTTCAAAGACGACTTTGGAAACAAGATTTCTGCTCTTGAGCAGTTTGTGACTGCTTGTTTCCACAGAGAAACTATCCAAACCAAACCACCATGGCCACATCTAAAGGCCTGGAAGAAGCATCACTTAAGAAAATAGAAATGTGTGTTCATATTTATTATTTATTTCTATCTCTGATTTGAAAATAAGGCACACTCAGGGCTTGTGGTAAGGTGGGCGCCCCATTAACAGAGTCAATTTGCCCTAGAAATGTCCATCCAGAATTTTAATTCCTCGTAATTGTTAATAAAAGACACAATTGCTGCAAAATCATCAAATAAAACAAACAATCTATAACGCTGCAGTCACAAAAAGCCCCAAAATAAGAAATCCGTCAGGATGCAAATAATTTTTCACATCCCTCTACATACAAATGTTGCGGCGTGTTCTAATGAAACCATTTGTGTGTGTTTTTACCCAGCATGGCGAATGTGCTACCCAGTTTAGCTTTAAGCCCAGAGGACGTAAATGAAGAGGAGGTTACTGTTCAAGAAAAGGAGAAGATGATTAATATCTCCTACGAGCTGGCAGCAGAGGCCTCCAAACGCAGCAAGCTGGTAGCAGGTACATCTGCAGGGACAGCACAGAGAGATGGTGGGGGATTACATTAAAGAGATGCACGGTCTATAGGACACAAACTGGTGGGAGGAAGTTCTTGGAGACAAACTGACTGCTTCCATCCTTTATGTGCTTAGTAATTAATTTCTTCTCACACCCTCTTTTAATTTCCTTATTAATTTAATTGTCTTTAGTTTTTAATTTTGCACTTTGGCTTTTTAGTAATTGGTTATGGATATTTTTTTAATTTTTTAATCATTTGTCTGTGCCTGTGTGTTCAACATGATGCTTTTTTTAATTGCAGTGAAAAGCCTGTCGTCTTCTTCCTCACCCCCACAGTCTCCCAACACACCCCCTCAGCTCACTGATGGCTCTCACTTCATGTGTGTGTAGTGGCACCAGTAAGGTCCTTCATCATCCTGTTTTGTTCATAATCATGCTGCTGTGAAATTATTATTTATTTATTTTGGCCTCTGAGAGCTTAAATCCTGCTTTGATGAAGGAAACAATCATTAGGTGCTTTGAAATATTCTGTTGCATTCCAGAACTTTTTTGTTTTGTTTTGTTTTTCACATCACATCACTGCATTAGCATGGTATGACTTTGTGTTACTCCTCATATGAACTAATATATAAACAACTAAACCTGTTACACTATAAAAAACATGTCTTTCATTGGGATTTTCTGTGATAAGACTAAAATAAAAATAAAGTTAAAGGTTGTTGAATCCTAAAAAAAAAGTATCCTGTAAAGCCGCCTAATAATTAGATAGTCTATCCGTGTGTAGCTTCCTTTGTTAGAGAACATCACTGGATAAATGGCACCATGAAGACCAAAGAAAAAAAACAGACAGGGCAGAAGGCTAACCCAGAGTTAGGGTCATAAAACAATATCAAACACTTTGAACTTCTTAGGCAACGTTCACACTGCTGCCCGAAGTGATACAAATCCGATTTCTTTGCCCATTTGCCACCTGGATCTGATCCTTTCATGCCAGTCTGAATAAGTCAGATCTGATTTTTTATATATATATATTAGGGATGGGACGGTTTATGAAAACCGTCCGAACCGTTCGGTTCGACTGTCTCGGTTCGGTTCGCGTGTGTTGCGTTCGGTTCATGCGCTGCTCCTTTTTCTCATAGGCGAAGCGTTTACACTCCAGAGCAGAAGGTGGCGGTACTGCGACCAAAGCCAACCACCAGTAGTAAACAAGAAGAAGAAGAAGCGGAGCAGCGGAGCCGGGTGTAGCAGAAAAAAATCAGTTGTTGTGGAGAATTGTGTGGGTATGGCGAGTGGGGAAGAACAGGAGTTGGAAGACGCGCCAGCAGCACTTTATAGGTCTGCTGTATGGGACCACTTTGCATTTAGAGTGACCTACGATGACGGCGGAAAGAAAGTTGGGGATAAAAGTGCAACAGTGTGCAAGCATTGTGCAACACGTTTTGTTTATTCTAACAGCAACATGACCAACATGTCAGGCTAACCCCGAAATCCCTCATAGTCCATCAGCGCTCCGCCCCTCTGCGCTCCAGACCGGCTGCTCAAAGCAAAGCCTGCAGCCTCCGCTGTGGCTCCCGTCCGCTCCGCTCTGAGTTCCTTGGAGATCGTAGAGGGCATGCGCCAGATGATTCAATTCAAAGCAGCAAAACATGCGGAAATGATCCATGGTTTCCGCGAATCATTAAAAATAATTACAATTAATTATTTTTGGGGGATTTTTTTCATTAATTTCATAAATTTTTATTTTTCATTAATTTTTATACTTTTTTATTTTTTTTCGGTGTAACAATAAACATATACCGAACCGAAAACCGTGACCACGAAACCGTGAACCGAACCGTGGATTTTGTGAACCGTTCCACCCCTAATATATATATATAAATAAGAGAGTCATGGGTGCTTGTTAAAAACTACTTCTAAGAGCACTAAAAAGCATTAAATTAGAGTCACTCATCCCTGTATAAACCCTGTACCTGTTACAGGTAAGTTGTTTAATCGTTGTCATACGTTAAGTGTAAGTTACTCATAAGTCGGGGTGACAAGCTTATCCAAAACCTATGACCAACTTCTCCTCCAGACCTCATCCCCATCATAGAGTGAGCGAGAAGGTGAGTGTGATGGAAGATTTCAGAAGATTCTGAGACGCTGTCTAAATCGGCAAGGTGTGACAGGGACCTAAAACCTTGCCTTACATTGTTTTTGTCTATTGCACAAAATCCCAATAAAAAGAATTTTAAAAATTACGGTTGTAATACTTCAAAATATTAGTAGGTGAGGAATAACTTTTGCAAAGCATTGTGCGTTTCTCGGTGGACTGTAAAATCTAGCTGCTGTTTGAAAGTAATTTTTCCCTCCATGTGTTGCCCTCCAGCACAGGCTCTGGCCTCAGTAAAGACCTACACATGAAGGAAATAACTAGGAAGGCATAGAACACCTCCTGAGGATCTTCTTCCTGGAGATCGGCACAAGGCCTTGACCCTCAGAAAGTGGAACTGCCTCCTCATCCCGTCAGGCAGCCTTTAGCTACGGACTTCTGTTTACTCACTGTGACATCTAAAGCTTCTATGCCAACCTTTGGTGACATTTCTACTTTCATTGCCCCACTTTGAAATGAAACTCGCCTTGTTTTTACCATTGACCGCTGCAGACCTCTGTTTGTTTTTTACTCTAACTGCAGTTTTATTTAGTTGTTGCAATACAGGCCGACGTACATCTGTATATTTGGGAGGCTGCAGCCTGAACTCTGTTGAGTCGTTTAGCTTGTAGCAGAATGTTTGTAGGCCGTGTTTGCCACTTGCATTTCAACATATTTTTTTAAGGTTTTAAGATGCTTCTGCATATTTTTTTAGTTAAATTTAATCTAGTATTTAATTCAGATTGCTTTTCAGACGCTGACATTTAGCTAACTAGTTATATTTATCAATTTATGGTGAAGAACGCTCGTCTATACGGATGAGTTATAAACAGATCTATAATCAACAGATATAATAATGGAGCAACTTTAATCTAGACAGACTGAAAATATTTGTACATTTTCCATGTTTCCAGTCAGTGACACATCGCTGCCAATAAATATACATATTTGAATGTTCAGACTTACGTCGCTCTTTGTTCCCTCTATCTGAAATATATATATTTAAATTGAGAGATGGACAAAAATTTCAGAGTTTGGTATTATTTTAGGATATGTTGATTAAAAGCCCTGGATCTAAAAAAAATGCATGTTTAAAAAAAAAAAGCAATAAAAAAAAGAAGCCTTTGTCAACTGAAGATATTTTTGCGTGTGTATAAAGTGTAACTATGAGAGGTTTACTGTGTATATAATGTACATTGTGCATCGGATGGGAATATATACCCACTATATAGGTACGTACGTACATACAGATTTGATTTGCAAATGTTCATATCCCATCTGTTTTATATCATGTTAAATAAACATCGGAGTTTCTAATTGTTATGTTTCTGTGTTATTTGTTCTTGATGCTATGCTAACAGAGCTACAGCTTGTACTCGAGGGGTTTCTGGTGCCCTCGATCCATGTACAGTTTAAAAAAGGAACAACAAATGCACAAGATTGCTTCATTTCAATGTAATGAAATCAGTAATTGGAGTTGAAAATACATTTTCCTCTGCTTTTATTAAAACTTATCTATATTATGGAGAGAGAGCCAAAACCTAAAGTGGCCCTGAAGTGCAAACTGCAACTAAAAATCTAAAAGCGCAACAACATTAAGGCCCCGTCCACACGAAGTCAAAACGAACACGAAACGCTAATATTTTCCAGAACGTTTGTCGTAAAGACGGAGACGTAAAATAAATGTGATCGTCCACAGGAATGCGTGAAAACGCTGCAAAATGTATGCCAGGCCTGTAAGTGGCGCTGTGGTGCCAAAGCAAAAATAGTCAAAAACAGGCAACGAAATGTTGGGAATGCCCACTAATATTTATACATGGTTGCCCTGCGGGTCCATTTTCGTGGTTCAGTCAAATTGAGGTGATGAACTATGTCGTCAATATTGCTCTGTTCTTCCTGGAGATATTCCAGAAGAAGAAGATTCTGTTGTAAGCCCGACAGCAGGGTGAGTAGCATGAGCAGCAACCATTCAACACAGTACGGCGCCATTGTTGTTGTGATACTGTGTCGCGCATGCGTGCTTAGAGGCGATGCTATGACGCATGCGTGTAAGAAAAAAAATGCGGTTAGAGCTTAAAGATGGAAACGCGAAAACGGCGTTCCAAAATCTTCCCACTCTGAAGGCTTAATAAAAAAAGATTGTTAACAGACCCCCTAAACGCCGGCTTCGTATGGATGAGAGGCTGGTTTGGTGAAAAATTTGTGCGTTTAGGCCAGGGTTTGACTTCGTGTGGGCGGGGCCTAAGGAAATCACAATTACATTAACCTACCGGAAAAGGTAGGTACCAGTGGGAAACATGAGACATCGCTGATTGGACGACGGCGCCGTTTGACCCTTGAACCGGAAGTAATTCTGCCCGCTGCGGCTTTTGAAAACATGGATATTGTCGGCGCCCCAAACATAGCTGCCGTTATCCAGGAATATTTTGAATCAGGGCATACGTACGAGGTGATACTGGATATGCTCAAGACTAATCACGAAATTTCAGTTAGTTTGCGTACACTGAAGACACACTTAAAAGAAGCTGGACTGTTCAGACGACGCAACTTCCAGTTCAAGGGTCAAATGGCGCCGTCTTTCAATCAGCCATAGATATCCATAATCATAGATATCCATAATAAAGGCTAGATGTCTTACGGCGGAGTCTCAAACGTCATCACCGGGCGGCCATCTTACCACAGGCAGGCTTTCTGTTGTGCTCTGTGGTACTTAATGTAAGGTGAGTGATCAGCACGAACACAAATACTCTTATCTCATTGAATTCTTGACGGATTTACAAACAGTTTGGTTTCTTACAAACGTTATGAACGTGGCTATAATTCTTGATGCTTGAACATGTCGAAATTGCAGATTTTCTTGTCGAAAAATGACTTGATCGTGCAGCATAGTTGTGCATCACGGTTACTTGCGCAAGTTATCAATAACGATTGTATGACAATTAATCTTTAGTGTAAATTACAATCTTTGTGGATGTGGTTGTAGCTATTAGTTGGCTAATAACAATAATCTGAGTGTTGTTGGATTTTCATTATTAGCCTAACGTTAGCTGACTAATAACAAGAAGCTGCGAAGTGAGACCTAAAGTTAGTAAGTTAGCAGCTAACGTTACAGTTTAGCTAGCTGCTAACGTTAACCAGCAACTTTGCATCAGTGGAAGAGGCAGAATTTATACATGATTAATGCATGATTTCCAATCGATTTGGTTTGTCAAAACATCTTACATTATGTTACAGGAATTTGCTGGGTCTATTAATAGGAAGATGCCAGACTTTTGTGCAGCCTACGGATGCTCCAATCGCCGTAGTGTCAAAACGAGTGCCAGTGGGATCACCTTTCACATGTAAGATATGAAATTATGATTGGTTTTTGGGATAATCGTTAGTTAATTAGTGGATGTATGTACAATACAGGCTCTGGTACACAGGAACAGCGGGGCTATGACTTAATAGTATTACAAGATTGCCAATAGTCAAAACCTGAGGGAAATCAATATCCCAATGGCCCAAAAAGATAAATGTTCCCTTAATTTCCCCATGGTTATTATAAATTATTTTAATAATACAACTCTTATTTCAGGATTTGTTGTGCGACGGGCTCTGAAAAAGCTGTCCTGTGATGTCTGCCGTGCCAGCTTGGTAACAGATGCTGCATCTGCCATCAAGGACCAGAGCTACCACCTGCTGAAGTTAAAAAACAATGGAGGTCTTGTGATTCCATCAGAAGGCACAGTGATGGTAGTCAGGGCAGCAGAGTGGGTTCTTCGTCAGACCTCATGTACCAGACGATCACAGCCCATCAAAGTGCTAGAGGTCGTGTACATTGTACGGAAGAGGATAGGGTCAGAGGATGTGTTTGTGCTTGGAGAGCACATCGGAGAAACGCAGTATGGCATAGACAGCCACCACCATACGCTGTTAACATTGGTCGTGTCCTTGTTTTTTAAGTTAAGGCTGCACCACATTGCCAAAATAACCAACCTTGGCTTACAGAGCAACAACATGCGACAGAAACACAATAAAACCGTCCTTTTCAAAGGGCATTAACCAAGCTATGTTTTTTGGGTCATTTTTTCATCTCTGTCTTCCATGTGTATACCATCACAGTAGTGTAGGTGGGGATTTCAACATGCTACATCTATATATACTTGTGAAGGGGACTATTGTACCAATTTTAATAGCAAATAAATTTCACTTTTATAATGGTTTAAAAATAGGAACTTTTGTGTAATTACTGATATATAATCCGAATAGTCTACATGAAACTTCACAGTGCAACCTTTAATTTGAAACCTGGATTATGCTTCTACACCAAGAGGTTGCCACACAATAAGCCTTTTTTGTCAGTATTTCAAATTTATTATAACAGTAATATTTATATTATAAAAGTATTTATGTAAATATAAATAAATTAGGACTGTGAAATAATTAATCACACTCAAATAAAAGTGTTTATATATATATATATGTATTATAATATATATATATATATATATATATATATATATTTTATATAATAATAATAATAATACATTTTATTTGAAAGCGCCTTATCACAACACCCAAGGACACTATACAGGCAGATAAAAACATTAAAAACAGGGAGCTAAAAAGTACAAGCAATAAGATACCACAGAAAACAAAACAGCAGAAAGTAAAATAAAACCAAAGGAAGAAAAGGAAGAGAACAATATTGAAGTGATGCGTAGGAACTAGATGTACAATATATAGATATACAATATATATATATTATTTATATTATATATATATATATATATATTTTATATATATATACAATATATATATATTATATTTATATATATTGTATATATACATTATATATATATTGTATATATACATTATATACATATATATATTGTATATATATATTATATATATATATATTATATATATATTGTATATATACATTATATATATGTATATATATATATATATATTTCTGGGACCATATATATATGGTTGCCATTCTGTACACTGAGTTTTAATAGCATATATTGATTTAACATAAATACCTTGTGCATGTGTATATTTATTGCACCTGTATGTTCTATTCAATGTTCTTTTCATATGAAATTCCATGGTTATAATTATTCCTAAGTGCGCAGTATCACAACTACATGTCTGACTTTTGTTTAACAAACCAAACAGTTTGAGAATAGTTAGACAATTGAGGAAGTTATGGTTATTTCAGTACATGCCCCATTGAAACACAATGCTACGAATGAGCGAGCTGCCTGTGGTAAGATGGCCGCCACGTGCGGACGTCGACCCCCATTGGCCAGCAGCGCGGACGAGACATCTAGCCTTTATTATGGATATCTATGCAATCAGCGACGTCTCATGTTTACCACTGGTAACTACCCTTTCCGGTAGGTTAATGTAATTGTGTTTTCCTTAGTGTAGTTGCGCTTTGCTTTATGTAGTTGTTAAGTATTGCAGAAAGCTCAATGTGGCTCTTTGTATCCAGGATCTCATTCCATGAATCAAGACCTAGATTTCCTACCCATTCCTACCCATCTCATTGGGGAGCAGTGGGCTGCCATGGTGTGGTGCCCAGGGAGCAGTGTGGGGTTAAGGGTCATGCTCAGAGACCCAGAGTGCACGCTGTGGGGATCAAACAACTTACAACTTTCTTAGAACACAAGCACGCTGCTCTAACCGCTAAGCCAACACTCCCCAAGTAATCGTACCACAACCGACCGACGCAGCGTCAGAACTAAGGTGGCAGCACACGGATCTGTTTTGTTGATCTGCTCCATTTTCTCCTTACATACTCGAACACCTCCACTGTCCTCTCACCTAAAGAGGACAAATCACCTTTTAATTGGAAATAATCACAGCTTTTCCAAGAGACTGCACTGGAAAAATCTACATCTAGATAAGTCGTTTTTTCTTAAAATAAGTGCATTTGTCCTTGAATTGAGAAGGTGAAAGATACATTTTGCCAGTGGAACAAGACAATTTGCAGTCAAAATAAGAAAAACACAATTGCATCATTTTATTTCAAGTGCATTTTATCTAAATATCTTATTTTAAGAGTCAAATACTCATTCCATTGGCAAACTATCTAATTTACCTACTCAAATTAAGGGTAAATACACTTAATTTAAGACATTTTTACTTATTTCTAGATCGTTTTCCAGTGTGATAGTGAATGATGAAAAAGGGAGTAGCTGTAAGATGAAAATTTGGGATTTAATCATCTGGAATTTTTCATTTCTTTATCGTAGATTTACTACTAAGTTTTATGTCATTTTTTTTTTATTTAAGGTAAAACTATAAGTAAATAAATCATTCCA